ATGAGGCTTCTGAACATGCATCAGATCTAAATAAAGCCTTTTATAGTACTTTTTCGTCTTAATTTATCAAAGAAAAATAAAGGCATATAACTATACAATATAAACATATATTTATTACTGAGTATGTTTACAAACAAATCTGTGCTGTTTTCAGCCAGTAAGATTTTTTTTTGTCCATTTTCTCATGCTCCTCTTCTACATGAACGACAACAAGCTGTACGTTAATAGTGAGTAATAGGACTTTGACTTGATAATCCAGACCACAAGGATCTACAGAACTGACATGGAATGTCATTTGTATTAGAGAAATATGTGGATGGTGGTAAGTCAGTGATCAGATACCAAGAGAAAATAATAAGTTGGCTGAAGGACCCCAAGACTGTACGCAAGCTGCAAGGAAGTGAGCGTGAGAGCCACTATCCAGGATGAAACAGCCAAGATATCAAGGAGAAGGCTTCAACAGATGTTGTGCTTTGTGAATGTCTCAGACAGTGGCAAGCACATGAGGAGGTGATGAAGGAGGGACCATCATGAGAGTCCTAGATGGGATGTATCACCAGGACATAACTGGTGGATGATCTCAAGAAGTCTTTCCAATGGCTAGAGAGGGCTGGCCCACGGGCGGCACGGTGGCTGAGTGGATAGCACTCTCGCCTCTCAGCAAGAAGGTCCTGGGTTCGAATCCTGGTCGGACCAGGGCCTTTCTGAGTGGAATTTGCATGTTCTCCCCGTGTCTGCGTAGGTTTCCTCCGGGTACTCCGGTTTCCCCTACCACTAAAAATATGTCCAATAGTTCTGGCATGCGCCCCCTGTACTGGCGACCCCGCTCCCATCTCTGTGTGGAGTGAGAGACAAATGCCCAAAAATTAACAATTGTAAACCGCTTTGAGACTCAGATCTGCAGTGAAAAGGCGGTATATAAATAAAGATTACTACTACTACTAAAGGACAGCACAGAGCAACTCTGGTGCTCAGGGCCTATCTGAGCAACATAGAGGTCCAGATATAACACACCAAGGTGTAGGTTTTGGAGGGATACACCTGAGCCAATCTATCACATAACACATGCCTGTGGAACACCATGACAAAGAAGCTGGCATAGTGCAGGAACATCTGAGCGGCACTGGAAACCCCTCTAAAGGTGGTAGAGAATGAGTGAGCAAAGATCCTGTGGGACTTCCAGATAGAGGCTGACAGGATGGTGGTACGACCAAAGAATAGCCTTTGAGGTTGACATAAAGCAATACCAAGGGATTGGAACGTCTAGAAAGAGGAATATGAGACACTTGAGATATGGGGGCTCAGAGAAGAGCTGGAAAGGGCCTAAAGTAACTAAAGCCAAAAACAGGACCTCTGAGCTCATCCAAAATGACCACCCAGTCCGCATGCTGAGTTCCTACTCCACGACAACACTTACCCCAAGGGGACAGGGTATTTCCATAGCTGGACTCACGCTATGGAACGCTCTACCCTGAATCAAAACAGCTCCCTTGTTGGATTACATTTTGTCTTAAAACCCACTTTTCCCCCCAGGCTTTTAACACAGAATGAGTTGTGTGGTCCTTTTTTTCTATCAATGTTTAGCTCCTATTTACATCTTCTAGCTAAATGGTTTCTAGCTACACTTGCATTATCTGTGCAGAACTTTGGATTGGAATAAAGTGGTTGTGCTGAGTGGATATCACTCTCACTACTCAGCAAGAGGGTCATGGGTTCGAATCCCGGTTGGAACAGGACCTTTCTGAGTGGAGTTTGCATGTTCTCCCCATGTCTGCGTAGGTTTCCTCCGTGTACTCCTGTTTCCCCTACCACTAAAAACAAGTAAAATATGTCTGGCATGCGTTCTGGCAGGCATCCTGTACTGGTGACCTCACTCCCATCTCTGTGTGGAGTGAGAGGACAAATGCCCACAAATGTAAGCCGCTTTGTGGCTCGGTGAAAGACGGTATATAAGAAAGATTACTTACTTACCTTAGGGGCTGGTGCTCTGAGACTTGGGTGGCATCACTGATTGCAACTCCCCGACCCAGAAATGGATAAAGGGGTAGAAAATGGATGGATGGATACTTACTTACTTATTGAAAGCACCCAGGCCTCAACGACCGTTGCTCGGGATAAAATCATGGAGAGTGAGGGCTTGGATACACAAATATGCACACACATTTCTGTCTTAATAATCTTCATATACTCAGATGATAATAACGACACAACCCCTGTCTTTTCTCTTGTTTCTGTCACTGCCCTTTTTACCCAGCTGTAGCCCACACCTCTATGATGCCGTTCCCTGCAGGAGTCGCAGCCCCTCACAGAACAATGATATATATTTTTTTACCTGTTTACTTTCACCTTCACCTCCGCCTTAAACGATCAGCAAGCCTCCCACTCTCCTCAGACTCCATTAACCCCCCCACTCCTTATCATCACTGCACCCCATCATTAATCTCCCACTCCCCACTGAGAATCCTGCCACACGCACGCCCATCAGCAGCACAACTGTCAGGGCTAAGTGGCTTCCTGCCTTTAATGGTGCGGAGTGGAGGAATGCTCTCTATGTACTGTATTATTCACACAAGGTACAATTATTACATGCAAAACACAATCTGCAGGGCAATGTTCATTATTGAAATAGTGCTCCCCAACTGCTGTATTTGCAATAACAATGATCGGAGCCCATTCCCAGCGCACAAGACGCATTTGCTCTGTTAGGTTTTGCCAACAGTGCTGGGCAAGTGAAGCTGACACTGTGAAAAATAAATGCTATGTAAATTGGCTGGGTTATTATTATGTAAACCTGCTCTAATTCTTCTAAATGCAAATATCACATGCCAAGCTACACAATGAATGTTGATACAAAACATATATGGGAAGAAAAAAAATCAGCTTGAGGCGTTCACATCCGATATCAGAAAGTCAAAGAGGCTTTTTGTGGGAGCCGGGTAAATTTGAATTTCTTTAATGGATCTTGTGACATTTAAAGCAAAACTACATATTTGGAGGTGGTGTGTGACAGGCTTGATTTTATGGGAATAAAATAGTTGTCACTACATTCTCCACGCAGATACAGCTGTTTTATGTCAGATGATGGAAGATTATAATCAAAGGAACATTCCCATTGAAAAGCTTCTCCCCTAGAACGTAGCACAAAATACGAGTCATGTTTGGGGAGATGCAAGCTTGCTCTCAGAAAGCACACACTTTCGACTATTTTCATTACCACAAAAAAAACATTAAAATGAGAAAAGATATTAAAATCCTTGTTAAAAAGGTTGTTCTGTAATTTCAATGATACAAAAAGTTTAAGTTCCTAAATGAAAAATGACTTGTGTATGTGCATTGATAACATTCAAACAAAACATTTCTCTATTACTCCAACTTCAGCTCCACCGTTATAGACATGCTCTACCTACCTGAAAATTATTTTTGACTTCCAAAATCTCCTACATGACACTAGTGTAGCTGTGGTGTCATGTCAGCTAGTAAACGTTTGTCAAATGTGAATCTATTAGGACTTATCATTCCTCAGTTATCTGTGTTGTCGGGACCTGGACAAGTCAGGTCAATTACAGTGGCCCTATAGCTAAAAAGTTTGGACACCCCTGCCCTAGAGGTACATGGGGTATTACTTAGTCTATGGGTATTACACAGTGTGATTTTCAAACCTGGCAAACATTGATTTGTTAGAATTGGCTTAAACATTATGTATAACCTCTAATAAAACCACATAATTTATGATATTCTTAACATTGAACCCATAACACAATAGACTACCAACATTTTGCTTTTGGTTCATTCCAAGCATGTACTTTTTGTTCAAAAATAATCTAAAACGCAAGTAATCATTTGGGAAAAATATGTAATAAGCATATAATAAAAGTGGTATATTATGTAGACCTTGGCATAACGATAAAGCCTACATCAGTTGTGGCTCCGAAACAAACCGATAACGACTCCTTGGGTACGAGAAGTTTTTTTTTTTTTCCTCTTAACAGACAGGGCAAGTTTATTTGTATAGCACAATTCATACAAAAGGAAACTCAAAAGTGCAGAACAAAACAATATAGAAACCACACAAGGCACTAAAATCCCAGTACATTAAAAACCACTGTTCTAAACTCCTGTGATCATTGGTGGTTTGATTTGTGGTTCAAATACATCCGTATAATGTAAATTATTATATTCAACATATGGACTGAAAGAAAGTGGTGCAAGCAAGTCTGTTAAAACAACCATGGATAAGAGAACATACGATGAGGAAGAACTCAACCTTGAGATATCTAAAATAACCAGTGTGAAAGACAGCTTGTGAAGAGGTGCTTCAGATTTCGCAGATATCAAAACAAAAATGTGGTATACTAATCCCCCGTGGTATAAAATGCTGTGTCTAATTTAAATATCTCCATCAATAAGAGATATGGAAGACAGAGACTGAGCAGGTGGATGGTGACAGGGTGTAAAACCACTCTGTCAAACTACTGAACGAATCAAAGATGGCTCTTGACGTGAGCAACGTAGCTTCTATCTTTCAGCCTCAGACGACACAGTAGGGACCACAAACCATTTATTTTGCAGTTTTTAAATCGTCAGGAAATCACATACATACATACACAATTTAACAAACGAGGTATAAAATATAGCATTAAAAACATAATGGAGGCTTGTAAACATAAGCACATAATAACAATGACATTAAAATACGACAATATCGCTGCATTGTTGTGCGTATGTAATTCCAACTACATACGCCTAGAGGGGAGAATAAACATCTAGACATAAATAATGGAACTAGGCAGCTGGAAGGTATCAAGCTTGTTACATACCCATTTTACCCCAGGAGAGTTCGCAATCCATTTCAGCACTTATTAATTACGTGGGATGCAAATAATAGACGTTTAAACTACTGCACAGCATCCGAGCGTACAAACACAGAACATATACTTTCACAAACAGGTGTAGTGCGTTAAGAACATATACAAATTTACATCGACCCATTGCAGCTTTGTCTAAATACTCGACGTGGTAAGGATATCGCCCACCAGATGTTTGTAGACCCAAGCGTCCCCCTTCAGCCTCTGCCGCCGGACCCCTACAACGTCAAGCTTCTGTAGATAACACACCTCCAACTCAAACTCCATGGTCACCTTTCCAAAGTCACCCCATGTCCGGCACTTTAGGGTATACCTTAGAAAGAAAGGAATACGACACTTTTAGTATTTTGCACAAATCAATAGTTGTTCAATTTTTTTTGTTGTCCTACCCTTTCTGTGTAAAGTCAATGTTTTTCCCCGGGAGAACTGACAATATTTGATTCAAGATTTGATCGGGGTTTGTCTGGTTTGTCAGAGTCACGTTGTACTGCATCTTAAAGAACAACGCACATATATGACTACAAATGCATTTCATTAATTCACGTTTCTCTGTAGCAATCCGGTACCTTGATTTTCCGCAGCCCATCTCGCCGCTTGCTTGGGGTGAGCATGGTGATTACTTTGTCTAGGCCTCTCTCCAGGGATCCAAACATTTTTCCTGCCCTCTTCTTTTTACCGCTGTCTCCACTTCCGGGCATGTCCAAAGATCGAGACCTGGGCCACAACAAAGAATATCAACATTGTAAAATTCTCTGTACTGTTCTGAGTAACAGGACACTGCTTACCTTCTCTCAGGGCTCAAGGCCATTATTTCTAGATTTGCCGATTCAAACTCCTCTGCTTCCTTTTTCTTCTTCTGATTTTTCCTGGAACTGCCACCAACTAAAACACATCACTGGGTTTAGTGTTGCAATATTAGCAATGAAAAATACCATTCATTTCGGCACCAATTTTGATACTTTACTCACTCCTAATTATTGCGTTGAGGATGAGTGGTATGGGTTTTGAGAGGCAGATTTAAATGCATATGTTTTAAAGTAAGACTGACACAAGGCTTCAATAAGGTCTTGATGAATAATGGGAGTTTAAAACGTGTTTGTAACATGTTGGTTACATAAAAACAAGTTTCAAAAATATTTTGTTTAAATCCTTGAAATTCCCGAGTTGCGTGCTTGTGCCGTGTCAAAACTCGTCAATCAACCCTCCTTGGAACTTACACTTTTTGCTGAAGCGAGTTCCTAAATGGTTTTACGTGAATGATTAACTAGGTCTTTATATCCTTCTGGTCATAGGTACTAAAGTTGTGACTTAGAATTATTGTGAAAATTGGAAGTTGTGAGACGTTCCAGTCTTTCCTGTAGTGAGTCCTAAAAACTCGCCAAGCTTTTCTATCGAGTCTTGTGTTAATTCACCATTTATTCCAAGACTTGGATACCATGAACATCTCGACACCACATAATGGTTTCTGTCCCATAACGTATAAGGCTTGTGTGTAAAAATTATATAATTTATTCAAGTTTATATTAACCGTTATTAAACCTGTCTCCCTTTAGATGCAATATCTATCGAGGGAGAATTGGCCTGGAGATTGTTTAATTAATTTCACATTGGAAAAACACATTGAAAAGCGTGTAACACAAAGCATTGGATTCCTACTCAAAAAAAAGGTAGAGTATCAAACAAGTGCGCAGCCAGCAGCAGAGTAGGCTTTAGTGGCAGAGGAACACATGTCACTACAGCCCGTGTGGGACAGTGAACAGAGGAAAGAGACAGCTACACCTGTCACAGCACACGCCTGGGGACCAAGCGGATCATGTGTATGTGTGGACACTGTCACAACACACTGCCGCGAGAGCCGCTTAGAGACCAGAGGCAGACAGCAGCCATTGTAAACACATTTCAAGGGTTTAACACAAGCTTTCTCAATAAATGGCTCTCAAGCAAAGTTATGCCAAAGCTTCGTCGAGACGAGAAAATTAATGAGGCTGGACATCTGCACAAAACTCCCCTCGACAAAGAATTAAGACGACTAAACGATTCTCAATTCATATTAATGTCCTTGACTTTTAGATAAGCGAGTAGAATTAGTGTCCTGATAGTTCCCTTACCTTGGAGTTGACAGAGATAAGTGTCTGAGAGCAAATGAGTGTATGTCCATTTTAATGGCCCAATGACAGCTAAATCAGAGAAATATGAGAGGCTCTGCTATTAGAAACAAGCCCAACAAATGAGTTTATTACCAAAAGACAATTTACTTGTAAATGCGTGGCATGTGGATGTGGCACTTGTAATAATAAAAGCGGCATGATCCGGAAAAAAAAAACTAAATTAATAGAAAGCAGTGAGCAGTGGCAAATGCAAATATTTGAAAAAAACAAAACAAAACCAAACAAATCTAAGTCATTATACAAATTATATTCAGGCATTAGCCTCTCTATCCAAGGGACTGCCATTAAGCAGGCGAAAGGCTAAATTGTTGGGTGTAAAATGTTTTCCACCCCAGCTTCTCATCTTAATGTAATTACATACATGCCCATGATATAGATATGCATATTTCTTATCCTATTCTATAAAAAATAAGCTGGTTAATTAATGAATGTCTCAGGCAGTGGCAAGCAGGGGAGGAAAGGAGGGACCATCATGGGAGTCCCTACATGGGACATTCCAGAACATAACTGCGGTGGCTGTACTCAGAAGCCCTACCAATGGTTGAGATGGCTGGCTTACAGGTTAGCACAAAGGCACTTCACACTCATTTAGAATATTGCTCCGTAGTCTGATTAAGTGCATCACTAACTGTAACTTGCATAGTTGTATATTGTGTTTTGTATTATAATTGTGTGACCTGCCTCGGGACTACGGATGTAAATTAGCAGTTTTGCTACAATCTGGCAGATTTACAATTTGTATATGAATGTTCATTAATGTGTGTTGTCCCGATCAAATAAATCAATCAAAAAGATCTCACAAAATGTCAGCAAAGTCACTGCGGGTGAGGCTTAGTTTAACTGTCAAGAACAGACCGACCTGTAGCCCAGTTCTATTCTGTGGGAGCCTACAAAAGTCACTGAGTCTGTATGCCCAACTATGACCAGCTGAGCGAAAAACAAAAAAGAAGCCAATATCATCATGGCATGTTATACCTCATTTTAAAAAGGTAAATTCATAAAAGAAAAAAAAGACAATGAGGAAACGAGGGAATTTGCACCAACCTCTCTTCCTGACAGTCCAGGACAAAGTAACAGTTTTTTAGCGAGCTATAGTGGTCGATATCCAACAAATTAGGTTTTAAATACATTTAAAAACTAAAGTGTAATAGACAAAGGCAAAAAACCTGATTGTGTGTATGAATGTAAGTTTGTTATAATGAATCTTGAGGTAAACATTTTCTTATACGTTTGGAAGGGCAGTGCGACTTTCTCGTACCTTAGGAAGCAGTTATCGTAAATAAAATAAATGAGATCTTACCTCTTGGTGAAACTGGAGCCTTTGTTCTGACATTGTCATTGGGAGTTGTGAGCACATTCTTGTTGGGTCGGCTGCTCTTTTTACTGGATGCAGGGGTTTGAGGAGGGGGAATCAAAAAATTCTCAATGTCTCGCTCCTGCGTGGCAACGTTCTCTTTATTCTCCGTTACATATTCCTTGTTCTTATGCTGCCTCTCAGGGAGGCGAGAGGCTGCTCGCCCCCTTTCTGAATTTGGGCTATTTGCACATCTCCTCTCTACAACTGGAGATGCCATTTTCTGCAGAGACATTAAAATGTTACTTTTGGCCGGGTAGTGTCTGAAACACAAGAGGGCACATGCTACATACTGTGACTTTGCTGATTGGGGTTCTATCCTCCCTCTCTTTTACACCTGGAGTTGTACGTGGCGAGATTGTGAGCCATGGGATATCATCCAAGTATTCAGAGCAAAAGTCCAAAGAACCGACAATAACACCATCTTCATCCTCACTGAATTGAAGAGATTCTTTTGTCTAACAAAAATAAAAAAGTTATGAGCATATAAAGCCACACCTTGGATCATAAGAAAAGCTGTACAGTAGAGAATGTTTAAATTGAGCATATGAAGAACAGTGCTGAGAATGGTGGCGCTGCAGCTGACCTGGAGTCCCTGGTGTAATGGAGAGCAGAAGTCCTCACGGAGCACTGGTTCAGCGCGCAGTCTGACAGGCTTACCCCTTTGTTTCTTTGACAGCAGCAGCAGGTAGGTGGCCGTGGTGTGGTCATACAGCCACTGTCACAGATCACAGCAATTAGAGGGCATTTCTACCAGCTATGGACATGAGCTTTATACAATACAAGAACTATGAATAGGATATCCAGAGAGCTTTGTTTAAATAAAACACAGACAATTGCAAGCAGGACACACCTCCTTGACTAGTGCAGTTGTACTCTCTCTTGACCGCTTCATGTTGACAGCCATCTCAGTAATACAATCCTCATCAATATGGCCGAGCTGCAAATATATTTAATGACCAAATTACTAAACACTAGTCACAATGTTGGTATATTCATGGATGATTTAAAAGTATTTACCGGTTGCCTGCTGTGCCACTCAACAGGGCTGTGGTAATCTTTCACCACCCAGGGATGATCCAACAACTGTCTGACAGTGAGACGACGCTTGGGGTCCACCTAGAGGACACAAAATAAACTACATCTTAATTTTAGCAGCGCTTAATTATTTTTTACGGACTTTGATTGATGACTAGAAGACAATACATGACTGAGGAAACTTAATTCAGTGTTAAAAATAAAAAATAATAATTGTATTGTTCAAATAAACAATATTTGAATAAATTAATAATACATTAAATCAATAGGCGTAATAAACAGACCTGCATCATTTGGTTGAGGAGGAGAACACTCCCAGGTGAAAGCCAGTGGGGGTTGTCATATATGCCTCGCTTAAAACATAATACAAAAACCCCATTAGCACAATTCTAGTAAAATAACGCAAAATTACATATTGATCAGAACTCTTTTGATACCAACAGCACATCTGATATGTACACATATACATCTCTGACATACTGAGATCTTTCTGTAAAGCACCACACAGTTGTCGTCATCAAAGGGCAGGTACCCGCAGAGCAGAGCGAACAGCAGCACTCCCATACTCCATACGTCGGCCTGGAAGTTACACATCACACAGCACTATTTCAGCTTCAAGCGTTTCAGACAGGATTTCACAGCTCAGTTGCACCGAGTCATGCACCAGCGAATATGATCAGCACACCATGAAGAAGCAAAATGTGGAACAGGCAGGTAATCATTAAACTTGGTGAAAAAAAACAAATGGTTTTTAGAGGTAAAAATAGACAGGTGCAGTACTGGTATAAATGTAGCGTAGAAAGATAAGACTGTGGTTTCACCTCTGAACCAATGTAAGCTTTCCCCTGGATGAGTTCAGGAGCAGCATAAGCAGGGCTTCCACAACACGTCATCAGCTCATAACCCAGACCGCCCTGCATGTGCACAAAATAAAATAAACTTCCTGAAGAAGAAAAATAAAATGATTTCAAATATAAAATCACACTTTTAAATACCTTAGGTCTGGCACACAAACCAAAGTCTATAAGTTTTAAGTTTTGATCTTCATCAATCAACAAATTTTCCTAGGATGATAAAAACAAATACATTTGTATCTATAGGGCATTTCTTCATGCATATTTCAGTATTACCGGTTTAAGGTCTCTATGAGCATAACCCTGACTGTGAACATAGGCAATGGCTGACACTATTTGCCTGAAAAACACCCTGGTTTCCTCTTCTGAAAGACGATCTTTGGCAATTATGTAGTCAAACAGCTCTCCACCTGGACAGTACTGAATGGAAACATTTACACAAAACACAGAAGGTTTAAATCTGTAGAGACAGCGTGAACATCTTATTTGCCACTTACCTCAATCACCATAAAGATCTGGGTGGATGTTTCAATGACTTGATAAAGGCGACAAATGTGCTGATGACTTAAATTCTTCATTGCATCAATCTCCAGCTTCACCCGGGGTAGGTCGTCCTAAAGAGATTATCAAAGAGAGAAGACGAACTGACATTAAACAAATTAGTAGATCATTTCAATAGGAAGTAATGCTTTATTTACATACCCCAAGGCTCTTTTTGTTCATTATTTTAATAGCAACCTTTTCTCCTGTACGTATGTGCCGCCCAAGCTTTACTTTAGCAAAGCCACCTGTGTAAATAAGTGGGTAGGTAAAAAGTGACAGTATTATCACCCAATAACAACAAATAACAGCACATTACCTGAGCCTATGGTCTCATACACTTCATAGTATTTGAGCAGCTCGTCAGCTCCACGAGGCGTTTCCACTGTTTTCCTTTCCACTGGCATCGTCCTGGGTTCTGCAGCACACAGCCCCGCAGAATTATCTGAAAAAAAAGAATCTATTATTAACAATTAACGAAGTAAACATGTGAACATTAGGGGAGTTGTAGCATCGAAGTAGCTAAGTGTGAAAATACACCAAGGTACTGTCATCGTGTTGTTTTCGTTAACGGTATGTGATAAATGAGAAAGCGGAAGAATTACCTCAAAACGTCCCAAATAAGAGCTAAGATAAAAACTCTACAGTGACTCCGTGTGCAGAAAAAGTCGCAAAGTTTTTGTATGCGGTTTTGTCCATAGACTGTTTTGTCCCAAGTTTGAATTTCGCAGTTCGACGTCAGGACGTCAGTTCAGGACTTCCCACTTCCGGTTTGTGTCTTGCGCCCTCGTGTGGCCGGCGCGCGACACTCTTCCATGAATTGCACTCTTCATACTTTCACCGTTTCATACTGTCATCTTTTCATACTTTCAGATCTGAGATACATTGATCTGTTTATGTGTTTGGTTCTATAGACAGATACACAAGTTTGTAGGAGAATGTGGTAGGTTTGCATAAATCAGTGCCAAATAAAAATCGTTTTATAGTTTCTGTAAAACTGACATTTTAGCCTAGCAACTTATTTTTGATTTATTTTTGAACCAACATTATTGATTGATTAGAAGTTTTTGGAACTGTTGTATACTGAATATATTGAATTCCATCTATATTTCTTGAAAAATTGTCACTCAAGTGCTCACACCAAGACATTAAAATAAGTTGTAATAATACAAAATACCTATCTAATGATTAAATATCAGTATGATTAAATATCACCTGTGCAGAAGCAGAACAATGGTCTTTGGGGCTCTCCTAACTGTCAGAATGTGTTAAATGAATGAATGTTAAATACTAAAAAAATAAGGATGTTATTTTTTAAACTGTTCAAAATGATCATGCTTTTTATATTATCCTTTATTTTGTGAAAGTAAAACAAGTATTTAATTACAGAAGACTGAAGACAGAAGACATGAGTTTTGTATTATTAATGTTTGGAATACTTTAATGTTGATCAGCATTATCTTCCCTTTTTGAAACTGAATAATCAAATACCATTGTGTATTTCTTTGATATACATTTCTTTTAGTATGTATTCTCTGTGTTTAGAGACTTCCCAATTGTGTCTTTACTTTACAACCACAAACATTCTATGGTCAAACAATGGAGCACTTTTATGAGACTAAATTGATTGACAGGTTCTTCTGTCAGTCAATGTTATTACAATAAAGCCAACCATGACTCCCCACTATGAAATGATTTCTGTTTACTTTAATGACTACTGCCTTTAATTAACATTCGCAGGTGAAAAAAGTGTTGAAAAGTGTGCTCTGTTTGACCTTTCAGGTATGTGGATGCTGAGTGACCAGTGCTGTATTTACTGCCTCTGTCCAACCCTGTAATTATGAAAGGTGAGAGGAGAGTATTCTATCATCTCATTATCATTTCACTTTCAAACTTGCACTGAATTGTTCACTGTGGCTACTAGACAATTCAGTTCTCTATTCTTGAAGATCAAGCTCAAATACTTCCTTGTGCAGCTGGTCTGAATATTACACGAGTCTTATATCAGTCAAAAGGAGGCAATGTTTGAGTGACTAATGGCTACTTTACGTGTTTCTTGTGGTCGTTAAGAAAAAAGTCAGTCGTTAAGAACCTAACTGGTGTTTAGGAAATGTCCAGGTGTGAGTACACGCACAGACCCCTCATTTGGCTTCTGTGGCAGCTGGCCAAAGGCCAGGGCAAGAGCACTTCAAAGAACCTCATGCAATCAAAGGTAAGAGAACAGGCAATGGCGTTCATATTCATTGGAACTATTACAACAATGAAGATAACTCACCATCACACAATCCAACATAATAGCTGTATATATTGAGTAGACATGATGTTAGATTTGTTGAGGTTAGATCTTCACAATCTACAGAAACTAAGAGTGGAAGATCATGTGGTATTAATGAATCTGCATGGATTAAACATTAGTATCTCTGATGTGATTGGCAAAACATTCAGTAAAAGTACATTTGATAGTGTTGCAATGCAACTGTTACTGTGCCTATACATACTGTACTTTTGATGGTGTCCATGCAAATTCAAATCCCTTAGCACTTTGCAACTTCTGTACTGAAGTTGTAACTAACCTAATAAATGACGTTCTCCATACCTTTCTGAAAAATGTCCTCCCCTTTCTAGTGGACCCCACCTCAGGGGGCTTGTCTTTCTGTAAAGGATGAATGTCTGTAAGTGTCTTGTTGCTCGAGGGTCCAGTGTCTCCATGGCTCAGCCGCAGCTCTGCTCCTACAGCCGGGGTCCGACCCTGGTTCTGCTGCAGCTCATTCACCTCACCATTCTTAACCCATCCTTTGTATCTAGTTTTTGGGATAAAAGCATTGACCAGAGTCCCAAGGTAAGATTTTGATTTTTCTATTTGCAAAACAACAGTGATGGATATGGAAAACCACAGCCACATATTTGTCTAACAAATCTGAATGAACACAAGTAGTAATTTGCTTCTCATAACTTACATGAGAAGCAAATATAAGTGATGTGCCTTGTGAGTTTGATCAGAGGTTAATGGTTGACTGTGTGTGGTCTTGACATTGTACTTGCAGTATGAGGTGGTGAGGGGTGACTTCTCTCGGACTTTTCTTCGTGTCGGTTATCATAAAATAACTGATATTCCTGCAGGAGCATTCAACATCAGCATACAAGAGACTATAAAGAGCCGTAATTATCTGGGTAAAAGTGTTTGTAGTTAAAATATTGAAGTAAAAGAGTGTATTGATTGATGTGATTTTTTTTTTTTAGCTCTTCAGACTAAACATGCTGTGTCCATAATCAATGGAAACTGGGTGATTGATAGACCAGGTATCTTCTCTGCAGTTGGAACCCAGTTAATGTATAAGAGACCCAATGAGATTCGCTCGCGCCTCGGAGAGTCTATTACTGCCACAGGACCACTGAACGAGGATCTGATTCTATATGTAAAAATGCCATACTCAGATAAACACACCACTATCATCAAAGTCTTACCTGACCTCTTCTCTGTGCAGCTCATCTACCAACAACCCAATCCCAGTGTGCACTATGAGTACAGTGTGCCCTCAGCTGACACAGAGCCACATGAGGCCTCAAATGCTGTCACTTCTGGTGAGTTCACAGACAATAGTGCCCTACAAGCAATATCCGAATGGCAAACATTACTTATGGACATTGACCATCTACCCCTTATGGTCCAATGGCTCTATGTGTTTTTATCGTTACATTTCTTGTGTTGAACTGTTGATTCTCTGACCATTGTTGCCAAAGATAACTACTGTATTGATTTACAGTAGGGCTATACAAGAATACGTTGAATTAAATTGAAACAGTATTGTATTGCGTTATCAAAACTTGGATGCCTGCTTTCCAAACCACACAATATGTAACTGATACAAACACTAATACCAAAAATATGGTCGTATAACTTTTCCACTTATGTCTGATGAGGTGGAACCACCACAAGATCACCACACTCAGGAGACACAGCTAACCAGAGTGACATCTCTAACAACAAGATCAATGAGAACTCTCTCCTGCCTAAGGCCACAACCACACCGGCTGTGACCACAAAGCCTCAGCCTGTGTACGAGTGGGTGCAGTCTGGTCACAGCGAATGCAGCGCTACATGTGGCACAGGTAACACTCACACTTGTACTGTACATATATATACTGTCTATGGTACATGCCTATGTGAGGGGCACATGTACATGCTCACTGCATTGTGTTGTCAGGCAGGTGGCACAAGCTTTGGGCGTGTGTTGAGAAGGATTCACGAGAAACCGTTTCCTCTGACCTTTGTGACCCTGCTCTCGAACCAGCAAAGCAGCAAGTCGACTGCAATCCACAGCCATGCCCTGCATAGTAAATAACAACATAATACACGGCATATATTTCATTGAGTATAAAGTTTTTCTGATTTATTAAAGCTGGAGTACCTAACAATTTTTTAGTTTCATAAAATATGTTTTGTTTGTCGCAATAGAAACAGTCAAATCAGACCACAACATGCTGTCTTTATCTATTCTGCATCCAGTCTGAAAAAGACATAACAGACAAAATATAATAAGTATATACTGTAAGTATGTGAAAACTAGTGATAGAACCTGTGATAGAACCAAACTGTTTTGAGAGCAAGCAATAGTTACATGGATTTCATTAAATACTGTAGTTAATTTTTAGTTGTTTTAAAGTTAGGTACCTATTCTTAAAGTTTCAGATTTGCGTACCCCCCTATTTAAAGCTGGGGTACCTATTTTTCAAACCACATAAAATCCATCTGTTGCACTGAAAGTTTGGTTCTTACTCCAGTGCATGTCATTTTTTCCTCTGTCTCATTTTTAGATCAGCTTTTTGGCTGCGTGGACCACCCTTAGTCAGCCAATAATCTCTTATCCCAAAGTGTGTGACTCACAGCGCTCTTCCATAGTATACAAAACATGTCGCGGTCTGATTTGTTCTAGTCATTTGACCTTTCAGAGATTTGTATCTGTTGGGACATGCATTGTAAATTTTGGATAAAATAAGGTACCTCATCTTTAAGTTTAATTTAGCATGCCCCATTTCATTATCATGTCATGTCAGAAATCGTTGTGGTGAAACGTTCTTTTTGCACACTGTAGCTGGGATATCGGGGAATGGTCTCAGTGCAGTGCAAAATGTGGACCTGGTTCTCAGCAGCGTCAAGTAATCTGCCGCCAGGTCACTCAGGTTCACAACAACGGCTCAGAGACTTCACTCACTGTGGCACAAGAACACTGTGGCCTCACTGAAATTCCTGAGACAAAATCTACATGTCAAATCAAGATCTGTAGCCAGTGGGAAGTCCGGTCTGAATGGAGTCCGGTAAGAAAGGCAGTGACAATAAGAGCCGGATCAATCAATGTTTTCTTTTAACTACATTATTTCTTCTGTGGCAGTGCTCTGTGCCATGTGGAGTGGGTCAACGCAGCAGAGAGGTGGTGTGTGTGAATAACAAAGGGGAAACTGAACCAGACCCAGACTGTAATATGAACATAAAGCCTGAAACTCTGCAAAACTGTGACATGGGTAAATGCGCCCGCAGTTGGTTCACCTCTCCATGGAGCCAACGGGTAAAAGACTGCACTACTGAATGTGTACATACAGTGTTATAGAGAGAATGCCTGTCACTGAATGTCCACAATGTGTTTCTCAGTGCACAGCGGAGTGTGGCAAAGGGAATCGTACCCGGACAACTGTTTGCCTTATGGACTATGTGACAGATCTTCCACTCGGCAGCTGTGAAGGAGAGCGACCAGCAGAGATGACAATATGCGACTTAGGCTCATGCAGAAACCGCATGGAATGGTACACAGGGCCGTGGAGTCAGGTAAATCACATGTGTATAAGCACCTTCACTATAATTATACACGGAAGTGGCATAAAACTACTGGTTTTATTTACATTATTCCCCTACTTAATGGTATATAGGAGAATTTTCAACTTCCAGGGTGGATCATCAAGACTATTGGTCCACCTAATTGTCAATCATTCTGGTGATACGTGCTCGTCAAACTAGACCAGAAAGTTTTGTCAAAAAATGGAAAGGGGGGGTTCTTTCCTAAAATTTGGGAAAATCCTACTGTATACCTATAAATAAAATGCATATTTGATTGATTGATGGAAGTGTTTTTTTATAGAAATCTTTCGAATGGAAGAGAATATGACAATAAGAAAAACATGTAGAACTTAAGCCGAATGTTGATCTGAGCTTGTGTTGAGTTACAGCAAAGTAACTAATTTTACAATGAAAATGGGGAAAATGTTTTATTTGAATGAAAAAAATGGGTGACAGTAGCTCAGTTGGTAGAGTATTGGCCTTTGAGCCAGAAGGTTGTGCGTTCAAGCCCACCTCAACTCCCACTGTCTGCTGTCATTGTGTCCTTGGCAAGACACTTAACCTCTGGGAACAGCTGATGCCACAGTGGGGCGGCTGCGGCTGTAAAGTGCCAAACTGCTGTTGAGTCCTTAGGCAAGACACTTAACCCCCAGTGCCTAGAATGAGTCTGGTGTGTGTGTGAATGGTTGTTGGTGGTTGGAGGGGCCGATGGCATATACTGGTTGCCTCACTTTTGTCAGTGTGCCCCAGGGTAGCTGTGGCTACATCCATCCATCCATTTTCTTCCCCTTAATCCATTTCTGGGTCGGGGGGGTGGCAGTCAGAGCTGCACCCAGTGCACAGAGCACCAGCCCCTCACTGATCCTCCTGCAGGTGGTGAGTCCACAGGAGCTGAGATCTTTCAGTTGGGGCTTTTGGGCAAAGTGGGGTTAAGTGTCTTGCCCAAGGACACAACGACAGCAGTCATCAGTGGGAGTCGTGAAGTAGGTCTTGCGGTGGGCTCGAACCCACGACCTTCAGGCCCAAAGGCCAATGCTCTACCAACTTAGCTACTTGTAGCTGTGGCTACAGTATTAGTTAATAACCACCGTGTATGGAGAGTGAAAGAATGAGTCTTTACAAAGAGTGTCCAAAAAAGCGCTATATATAACACATGCATTATTATTTAAATGTGAAATAACAATGGTCATAATATAAATATGTAATATAAAAAACTACTTAAAACAATACTAGCCACCTCTCATTCTCTTTGAAGTCATAAACATTTTAATATGTATGGTTGTATGTATTACAGTGTTCTGCAGACTGTGGAAATGGAACACAGACTCGGAGTATTGCTTGCATTGTTACTAATAATGGGAACATGGATGTTGTTGACCAAGCAAATTGTGAAAGTCTGCCTAAGCCAATGGCAGCTCAGGTCTGCATTCTGAAGCCTTGTGGAGTCCAGTGGTATGTCTCAGAGTGGAGTACAGTACGTATTGTATGGTTTGATAATGTTTAAACAATTATAAATGACCATCCTGACAGGTTTTCTGTGTTACTCTAGTGCTCTCGTTCTTGTAATGGTGGCTACCGTGTACGTGAAGTGCGATGTTTGACTAATAACATTGCCCCAAGCGAGAACTGTGACCCTCAAGAGATCCCAAACGCACAAGAAGAGTGCAAGAAACAGCCTTGCCTTGAAGATATTGGTAAGTCTCAGGAGCTTCAGTATGACAAAATAATGAAATGCTGTTGACATTTCACCTGACAGTAAGGATAAATGGTTTGGTTTGTACTTTTAAAACACTTTCTGTCCATTGCAGATCTCCAGTGCAGTGACCAGTATCACAAATGCATGGTGGTGGTTCAAGCTCGACTCTGCATTTACCCTTACTATAGAAGTGTCTGCTGTGCTTCTTGCTCTCGAGCCCAGAAAACATTATCTACCACTCTGCACAAGAATAGGATACGCCGGTGATACAGAGGAAATGATCAAAGGGAATCATCTTCAATAATGGGCTTGTTCGCTGGTTTGATCATTGCAGAAGAAAACAGCACTCAGCACAGCTTGAATGACTTGCCATTGCCAAGCACATCAACTCCAACTAGCATAGATATCTAGCCAAAAATTGTATTTATTGAAATGGCTGAGATTAATATTAATCTTGTACAATATTGATAGTACTTTCAAATGTATTTTCAGATGGCGGTGAATAACACGTTCTATAGCCTGTATGTACTTTTACTCAAAACAGTTGCAGTTATACATTGTTTTAATGAAACTGCTGAACTGACAGCATGTAAGGCCAGAAAGAACACAGAAAGTAACATTAAAAACACCAAATTCACATTGCATACTTTCTTGTAAAAAAACAAAAAAAACAAAAAAAAACTATGGAACACAACTTCCTCAAAACATCCTGCAGTTTTGACCATGTTTGCCCAGAGTTGTTCTGTGTTTCTGAGGTCCATGTTGTTGAAGCGGAGTAAAACATTTCTAAAATGAGCCTGGGCCTTTGGTAAGGGGGCAGGCAGGTCCGTATCACTCTGGACTGAATTGCACAGTGGACACCATCACCTATAAACATTCAAGGCTCTTCACACTTCAGTGCATGCATATACAATAACGTGAAAGTTAAATTCTCAGACGTTAACCATTACATTTCCAGAAACACAAGAGTGATGTGTTCCCCAATTGTTCCTTAAATTTGAGAATGAAAAAAAGATGTGATTTTTTTTTAGATTATAAAATTAAATGATGTATTAAGCATCGTACCAACATTCACCAATTCCATATACATAAATATAGGTCACAATTCCTTAAAAACAAGTGATAGTTTTCTGAAATGATAATTTACCAGAAAACCGATATTTGACACAAGACATTAGAAAATAAAAACCCTGAGGTCAAATAAAACTATAGCCATCTACTTGACTGTAGGCAGACACTTTTAGAGCCCTGTTATTAGGGTGACTGTGATTCTAGCTTAAACTGTGTGAGACATTACAATGAGAATGTGAAGGCACACTTATCTGAGGCAGCTTGTCCCACAACTAAAAACCACTACTTATGTCAAAGGCAGGGGATTTAAGTTTTAAGGAGGTGAGGAGGCAGTGAAAACAGGTTAAGGCCAAATTACCCCAGGCTACCTGACTAGAATGCTCTACATATGAATACCATAAGATTAAAAATATGTTTTGCTTTTCATTTTAACCAGCCTGGTTGCTACATAAATATTTCTTCACTATGTAAAGTCAATTAAATTAAAAATGTCCGATGTTATTTAACACAATAAGTATAAATGTATGATACAAGAATATACAATGGCTTCAGTCTAATATATGTGTACATCCAAGCATTCAAGGTGAGGACTTTGGCTTTGAAAAGTTAGTATATATGCAAAGATATGCAACAAAACACACACACTCACACATACACCTCTCACATAAGGATCACTACTAAAATAAAATTACATTTCAAGTTTCACCCACATTTTTTCCTCATATTCTGTGTTCCAATCTCATACATATTAGGGGTAGAAAACAAGAATTACAAATAGAAACAAGGACCACGTGTCGAGGTTAATAAGGGATAGAACTTGTCTTTCCTCATGTGCAAGTCATATAAAAATGCTACAATTCCTTTTCTTGTGAACTAGACAGGGCAATCCATGTGTCATTTAGTTTGCAAGTGTAAAGGGGCTCGAACATTGGCAGCACAATTGCTTGATCTGTGGCAATGCAGACTTTCCCCTCTTGTGCTCGACCCATGTATGTTTGGGTAGAAGTGTTTAAGGTATGACCCCTGTCAAAAAGTTCTTCCTGCAAGTCCTGACATGAACAAAATGTAGATAATCCATGAATCCATCTCAGATTTGGTATAAAATCTCTGTTACGAATCCAGAAGTCTCTCATTCACTGTCTGTTTCGATGTCTGAATCAGACCACTGCACTGGGCTCAGTTTGCCACTGCGCTGGGCATACTCTATGACTGCAATATAGCAGAAATAGTACTGGTCCCAGGTCTGAATGCTAAAAGCTCTCTGGGCACGCATCCGCCGCACTGTTTGACAGACATCCACAGTTCCTATGTCCTCTAGACGAGACAGACAGATATCCAATGTGCAGAATGTACCTTCATAACAAAATAACAAATTAATAATTGAATTTCAGACATTTTCAAAGGTATAACTGCTAAATCATGCCAATTAAATACATACCTGTGCGACCAATGCCAGCACTACAATGAACCACCACTGGAGGGCCCTGTGGACACCCATTCCAACTGGAGCCTAAGCTCTGTACAGATGCTTTCTGCCTCTGAATAACATGTTCACGGAAATCCAACATGGCAGTAGCACTTTTGGGCACGCCAAAGTCTGGCCAGCTGACATACAGGTAGTGACATACGTCACGTCTTTCACCTGACTAAAACAAGTAAATGTGTGTTTATATATATATATATATTTGTATGTACCGGTAGTTTGACATGCAAAATACATATAATTTGTATTAATCTTACCTGTGTGTTGTAGAGCTCTAAATGCGACAGTTTAAAGTCTTGAAACACTTGCATGTTTGTGTTTCTGACTAAAAAGTAGCCATGTTGCTCAGTCCTACCCTCTTCTAGTGGCCAGTACTGACCACATTTGACACGACCACGCTCTACCACTCTGAAAAAGATTTTTAGCGTGACTTGATAGGACTTTATTATAACATTATGTCTTACACTACATTATTGAAGATTTTTACTCCATATCTAATTGATTTAATGGGACTTAAAAACGTCTATAAGCATTCACTGAAGAAATAAACTTGTGTTTCTAAGAATATTGAACTTTCAATACTTTCACATTGAAATTTCAAACATGTCACAGCTTTTCTACAATCACATATTAACATTTCTTATGTTTTTTTTTTTTTAAGTATTCTCAGAAGAAAATGGAGGATTCACAAAAAGAAAAATAATCTCACCTTGTGGTCATGACAATAATTAGTACCATCTGTTCCCACACCATGCGCCAGAAGTCGACAAATGTTTTAGGCAAAGGACCTGAGGAAAGCCAAATAAGTAGCAACAAAAAGAAAATTGTTCTTTATAACAAATAAATTGATGGATGCATACCCTGAGTAGCAATATAAGCATTTCTTCTTTTGTACCCATCCATGAAGCTAGCATTAATGTAGTCTGATGTCTGCAATGAAATGGATTAACATCACATGGATCATGAAGGGAAGAGAAAATAACTAACCTCATCATCAGCATCACAGAGCTGAGAAAGTAGCACACGCGAGTGGTCCAGACACAGCACGTCGCTATAACGATTCTTGATTTGGTTTGCGAGTTTCCTAATGAAAAGAGCCACACAATGAGAAGAAATCATCAATAATGCCTCACATCTTTTCCTCTTTACAAGCTTCTCTCTTTTGCATTATTGACCACCTCCCCCTCCTTACAATGCTACTCAAAGAGCCACAACAAATTATTGAATTCAAATATCTGTGGGCAGCATGGTGGCTGAGTGGTTAACGTTCTCGTTTCTCAACAATAACATTTAACTAATATTTAACAGACGCTAATCAAGCTTAAACAATATGAATATGTGATGGCCCCGCTCAAAAAAAAACCATTTGAAGTCACACCTGATAGGACCTAAAGAACCTGAATAACACCTGCCTTACAAACATGCAAACTTCTGGTACACAATTGAGCACCAGAAGTTTGTACACCATTGTTTTGGTACACAAATGTTTATCTTACTTGGAATAGTCAAAGGTTCCTGCAGGCGGTTCTTTGCGAATTTCCTCATACTCCTGGTAGATTCCCTTCTTCTTTTGCCTTTTGACGTGCTCCACAAGGTCATGCAACGTCATTCCACCCTCTTCTGGGATGTGAACAGACTTCTCTCTACAGAGCTCATCTTCGTCTGAGGATAGGTGTGGAGACTGGGAGGCCTGCTGCAGAGAACGTGGCAAAGACTTCTGGGGCAGTGGAGGGATTCCAACTTCCCTCACTAACTCATTTTCATTAGCTTGAGGCTCATTTGATCTGTTGGGAGTGCTTTTGCTTTCCACACATTCCATTTGAGAAAGTGGTGTGTCAGGGGGTGTATCTGATTGTGGAGGGGCTTGACGTCCACTGCCATTGACATTAGCGTTGAGACTTGAGCGACTGCTCATTGCTGAGCCATTCCAGTGTTGGTGATTTCCCAGAGCTCTGTTAGCAGTAGAAAGCGGGGCCTGTTGGTTAACATCTGTGCCTTGCGTCCTGCTCTCCATATTGTCATAGTGGTTGTGTGGATTAGCATTACTATCATCATAGCAGTTGGAGGTAGCCGCAACCAGATCAGGACCTAACTGTGTATTGATGTGAGTGTAGTCAGCGCCAGCGCTTGACTTGCTGCATTCCAAGCTATAGGAGCGAAGAAGACTTCCCACGCAGTCATAAGTGTCATGGGTCTGAATTTCACCCTCAATAACATTTGGCTGTGTATTAACACAAGACTGTATCCAAGCCACATGGCTATACTGGGATGTTCCTCCCAAGTGTTCAGGGAGGGAGGAAATAGGGATGTGGTTGGCCAACTCATGCGCCCTCACTGTACACACCTGAAATAAATTAGTTTTAAGTTGGCATTACTTCACAATATTATATATTTTCCCCCTAAGCAATAAAGTAGTAATAAACTGTAAAATGAAAGCAAATGATATTTCTAATTAATAAAATCATATAAATATAACACTGGAAAGTGGGGTTTGCATGTGTATGCATAAAGGCTGAATGCTCTCATCTTTCCCTAGCTATTAAATGCCCACCTCGTGTGTTTAATCTACTCTCAGTATGATCTCCGCTAAGGGAATCGGCATATTCCACAAAGTATAAACTCATACTGCATGACTAGTTTATTTATTTATTAAGAAAAAATAAATCATGCATCATTTTCTTTCACTTCACAGTGTTATAAAATATATATTTGTTTGTGGGCTTAAACATGATACAAGTTGTATTAGTACTTTCACAAGCCATTACATTAATTAACTCTAAATAAGCCAATGTATATGACAAACAATAACATACCCTTTCTCTTAACTTCTCACGCACAAAGAGCCGAAGAACAGCAAAAGGAGCCCGAAACCACAGTGGTGATGAGACGATGAAGACACATTTCAATCGTGCTGGAAACGCCCCCTGAACAAGCCAAAGGTAAAATATAGTTTCAAACTGGTTTGAGTGAGTGAGTGAGAGAGAGAGAGAGAGAGAGAGAGAGAGAGAGAGAGAGAGAGACAGACAGAGTGGGAGAAAGAAATGCGTACCTTGAGCAGATTGAGGATCTTGACACAGAGCTCATAGTCAAAATTTCCATAGCTTGAATTCGTCATGTCGTAGATAAATATTAGTCCATCTCTTTGTGTTTGGATACTGAAATAGATTAATTAAAAAAAAAATGTTAACTGATATTGCAATTTCTTCAGGCTGCCCTTTTGTAGCGAAATTCACTTATTGACCCACTGATTAATTTTCAAAACAGCTGCAGATCAATATCAAAAATGCAATGCGTCACCTTTCTATGGCTTTGTCAAGCTGATAGATAATGGCCTGCAGGACAGCCTTGTGCGTGCTGTTATCTGAACGGTGTAGCCGAGCAGTGAACAGTGCCAGAGCAGCTCCTTTGGCATCACGGCCAGGCTATGGGATGATTCACAAAAAGGCGGCATGTAAATTTTTTTTTGTATGAAAAAGAATCAGGCAAACCAGTTTTTAAACTGACCAGGACAGTAAATTTTCCACTGAGCAGCTCAGAGCGAAGGGGCTCCTCGTCAGGATTGATATTAATAATTCCCTCTTTAAGCCTTGTGTTCTGATTGAGAGAGCAAAACATTCAATAAGACAGGGTTTAGGATGATAATTTTTATACCGTTTTTGCTGACAATTGCTAGATTAAAAGATACGGCAAACTAATTGATGATATTTCAAATTCGGAATTGTTATGAGACTCCATAGTTAAATAAAGAGATATAAATATACAATAAAACTGAATAATGGTTGAGGAGAACATAAAAGTAGATTTTAGGGGTGAAACAAACAACAATTTAGATTTCTTGATTTGTTGCTTAAAACAAAAATATGATTTTGTCTTAAGCCGCACGAGGACATTTCATTAAAAATGCTCCTGTGTAATCATGTCTCCCAGCAGAAATGTTGTACATAGAGCAGTTAATCAATTACTAAAATAATTGTTAATTATTAAACTCTATTAGTTGCAATTAATTGATTGTTACAGCTTTAAACCCTTATCACATAGAACTCAGAAAAAATGTAAAGGAAATGGATGCCAGTAAAATAAAAATTTTGGAGGAACCAATTACCTTGTATGCCGTAAAGAGAACCACGGCTCTGGAGACATCAAACTTGCGTGCCATAAGAAACTTCACAGCTGTAGGGTGGGAAACCAGCCCAGCACTGTGTGGCTGCTCCCTGCTGCGCACTTCACTCAGGAACTCCTCCACAACCTTTAGTGACAAGAAACATAATAAGAAAATATAAACAATACATCCTCAACAGTGCACAAGACTAATCACAATCGAATCAAAATCATGATTCGTTGATCACAATTATTTCCAACAGGCAAAAGATAAGTGAATACTTTGTACAGGTCTGACTATAAGAATAATTTAAATACAAATCAAATAAAATTTAATTTAAGCATTTATGAAGAAATAATTCATATTTTTTTGCAGTGAATGTATTATTTCTACCAGAATAATTGAGCCATTATATATGTAAAACTACTAATGTAGCAAATTTAGGGATGGCCGATATGACAATAAAAGTTAAATCTATTGCAATTTTGAGTCACCAAACTGCTTCATTTTCACATTTAAAAAATAATGTTTGACTTCCATTCCAAATGATCATAATAACATTGTACAGACACATCTCAAATATACAAATATAATGATGTCTGAACATTTGAGAAATCCCCCATAACCTTTTGAGTTTTCTTGCAAACTAATGAGCAAAAGAAACCTGATCAAAACATGATACCCCTGCAGAAATAACAAGCCTATAAGTAAATTATTGTGAGATAAAAAAAAAAAAACTATTATAGTACATTTAAATGCAATTATATTATAAAGCGTTTTCATTTGAGGATAAAGGTATGCTACAAGTATTACTAATGATTCTCAAATAAGTGTCCATTTCATTAGTAATTTACTAAAGGCACACAGCACTGAACTGATACCGTGATGTCGGAACTCACTGTAAATCTGAAATTATCCCAAACATAAACCAATCAAGCTTCGAGCAACAGACCTCAGGGGACTTAATAAAATGACGTATTTGTCTGTTATTATAATAGATCCATGGTTATCACAAACATGGACGCAACAATATCACACATGAGTTTTTACTGAGTGACTAATGGGAGATATTTTGATAACAACATTAATAACTGTAGCTACGTTTATGTTTTTGAACCGCAAATCTGGCAGTCACTCAGCTCGAAAGTATACCGTTTATGTTAAATAAAAATAACAGCCGAAAAGCCATTAAGGATTATGGTTCGTACATGCAATTAAAAGGTGTACAGCTTGCAAAACAAGCAGAACCCCTTTAGTCCCCGAAAGCTAACATTAGCAAGGGGGATATGATGCATGTGGTAGCGGGAGTGCTAACTAGTATTTTATTCACCTACAATAGAAACCGTGTGCGCTGATTTGACATACGTACAACAAAATGCGACTAAACACAGCATGATAAAAATATTGTCAATGTCCATGGATGATAACGCGGATCCAACTCTACAACCAGAAGCCCTCGCTATCAACGCTAGCACATGCTAAAGGCTGTCAGTCACACTGGGGCAGACTCAAGAGGCACCCGGGCCATGGCTGTTTACTTAACAAGAGTACTTTTACACACAAACATTATGCACGAAGTGTGTCAAAGTCACACACGGACATTTATCCTAACCGAATATAAAGCCAGTCATTTGGTTGGATAACTTGTGGACATTCCGACAAGTTAACCTTACCAGCTGCTCCTGAGTTGTCAGGGCTTCCGCCATCTTGAAGCCTCCGCAGCGTCGCGGCAGCGCCCCACACCACTCACAGGACCACTACAACATACAACCCCATATCCAGGACTACAAATGTGTATTCAACACTTATAACTAAAAAAATAATAGACCCATGGTTTAACATGACAGTTACTCATCTTCCTCTGTGATTTGAACTGAACGCGAACATGAGAGGAAACTCATTAGAGACTATGCCATGGATGTTCCCCTTGTCGCACAGATACTTAGTTATTTGAACGCAATGTTACCAAGTTACTCTCAATTTTGAGCTCTCTAATCCATCGCTCAGCTCAAATATACCATAGATAAAGACCCCGGTACTTTAATTCTAAGCGTTATTTTCCCACGGACTTCTCTCAGGGGCACCGGGGGCGGAGCTTCGCCTGGCGGACTCTTCAACTGCTCCTGATGTTTTGATTGTAACGTGTTTACTGTTTACATCATCATTAAGTAATCTAACTAAAGTCTCTTGTCAGTGATACAGCCAACAATGGGCTGTTTTCTGCTGTGTGATGACCGTCACAGGATTATCATGCAAATGAAGACTATTTTAGTTATTTAGCGTTTGTTCTAAAATATTTTATAATGGACACAGAGGCTTCTAACCCCAAAAAGAAAAACTACATGGGACAGCACCATATCAAAAAAAGGTATGTTTGGACAAGACTCACACGTTTAGTGATGTTCCTCTCAGTTACGACCGTTTAATTTTTCACCTCGAAATGTTTTCAGGACTACATACCAACCAACCAGTGAGTCAAGTGACCAATCAATCATAAACAAGAATAACATCACGGTATGTGCTACAATAGTACTCTAAATATGCTGATATATTTATTACTATCTCTTCAACTTTATTTTCAGGAGGAAGGAAATCAATTTAAAAACTCAACCAAAGCACATAATGAAGAGTTATTGATGGTTCATAAGGCAACTGATGCAATGAAACCTTCATATACGGAACACACCAACAATATAGCTTCTAATATACCATTAAGAGGCAATACTACAAATTCAACAAACCACAATGTTGCCATAAGAAGTAATTCCAAAACTGTGATGTGTGCTGCGAAGCCAAATGAACTTTATATATCCACAAACGGTGACAATGTCAAAAGGGGCGTCTCTGGAAACACTGGTGATCAAGAGAAACCTGGTTGGAGAGATGACTGCAGACATCTTGCACAGCGACTGCTTTTTGATGATGAAGAAGAATCCCCTCAGTCAACCTCAAATCACATTGTGACTGAGAAAGAATTTCCCGTGCAGCCAAAAGATTTTTGGTATGCATGTTGCCTAGATTATGAAGTCAGTTTAACATTTTAAATGTACAAATACTCTTTGAATTACAGTACTCAAAATCAGTATTCCAGAAGACATTGCAAACCCCTAGATAAAGAAAACAACGGAGAACATGTACATTCATCCAGAAACTACATATTGTTTAGTCCTACTCAACTGGCGGAGGCTCGCAAACGGGCTAAACTACAGCAGTCATTACAGAATCATTCTGCATCAGTGCTCACTGTTCCCACAGGATTAGATGCCACAACTCTCAATAATACTTTAATTCAGCCAGGTGTGTTAATCACTATTTTTGTTTTATCAAACATCTTATATTAAACATCTCCTATGCTTAATTTTTGGTCACAGGGATTGTGATGTGTGCTCCTGAAGAACAGACTGAAAAGCTGCTGTTGTCCAGTTGGGGTTTACCTAAACCTGTTTTAGATCGTTACCACAAGCTTGGAGTGACTCACATGTTTGAATGGCAGGCTCAGTGTCTTGCAGTCGGCCGTGTTCTGCATGGGGGAAATCTAGTTTATTCTGGTAAGATTACCTGAGAACATGTAATTTACTGTATGACTCTTTTATATGTTCTGTGTGCCTCTTATAGCTCCCACTAGCGCTGGAAAGACCCTAGTATCAGAACTACTCATGTTAAAGCGTGTACTTGAGACAAAAAAGAAAGCCCTTTTTATTTTGCCATTTGTGTCTGTAGCCAAAGAAAAGATGCATTACCTTCAGGTAAGAATACAAGCTCCTTGAGCTTAAATGAAAAAACTATGATGTTTGTTTGATCTTTTTTCACAGAATGTGTTTGAAGAAGTGGGTGTTCGCGTGGAGGGATACATGGGCAGCACTGTTGCTGCAGGAGGGTTTTCTGCTCTGGATGTTGCCGTTTGTACAATAGAGAAAGCTAATTCCCTCATTAACAGACTCATTGAAGAAAATGCTATGGGGATGTTGGGTAATTGTCATAGATGTCCTATTTAACTGCATTGTGTACTATCACACCTGTGTTCTTTCTGTAGGTATGGTGGTGGTTGATGAGCTGCATATGGTTGGAGATTCTGGAAGGGGGTACCTTCTAGAACTTCTTCTAACAAAAATCTTATACCTTTCACAGAAACAAAACATAACTGGGTCTGTATGATTCAAATGTTGCTGCCTCGCAGGCTATGTATGAATAATTATGACAAATCCTTTAAAATTCTAGGTCCCTTTCTGAAGGTGTTCAGATTATTGGTATGAGTGCCACTCTACCAAATCTTTCCCTTTTGGCAAAGTGGCTTGGAGCAGAGCTTTATCAAACAGACTATCGGCCTGTACCACTTCTGGAGCATCTAAAAATTGGAAGCAATTTTTACGACAAGAGTCTTACAGTCATTCGCAAGTTCACACCGGCAATAAGTGTTAAAGTAACCGTGAACATTTAACACAAAAAGTAAAAGTATCATGAACTGTATTTTATTGGTAACATTATGTCTCTGTTTCAGGGTGATGATGATCACATCGTGAGTCTGTGTTATGAGACTGTTAGCGAGGGCCACTCTGTGTTGCTTTTTTGCCCTTCGAAGAATTGGTGTGAGAAACTCGCAGATGGAATTGCAAGGGAGTTCTATAGTCTTCAGCATAAAAGTAGGTTGAGTGGATTTTGGAGGTTGGGTTAAATGGGTTAAATTTCTGTTTTAGATTATGGAACAAACATGCATCTTGCAAATATATATATATATATATATATATAATGTTATATTATGTGTGGGTGTGTTAAACGTTTTACTTTATTATTGTAATGTTTGTTGTATATTGTATGTTCAGTATAAAAAAACCTTTAGTCGCCCCACAGTGGGGAAATTTCTGTATGTATGTGCTATACTAATAAACTTGCCTTGCCACAATGCGCCTACTGTATAATACAAATTCCGACCATTAAAGAAATATCATCCTCTTTTCAGAAACTCCCTGTGAAAGAGATCCTCAACCTGTGACCCTGGATGTAGATGGCCTAAAGGAAGTAGTTGCCCAGCTAAAACAAACTCCTGCTGGCATGGACCCCATACTCCAGCGCACTGTGCCTTGGGGAGTTGGCTTCCACCACGCTGGTACAGTACAGTACAAGAACAATTATCCATCAATCGGTTCTAAACAAGCCTCAATACTTCCTCATTTCTTATAGGGCTCACATTTGATGAGCGAGATGTTTTGGAAGGAGCATTTCGTCAAACTACTGTGAGGGTCCTGGCAGCTACTTCTACGCTCTCATCTGGAGTGAATCTACCCGCCAGAAGAGTTATCATACGGACGCCCACATTCAACGGACACTTATTGGACCCATTGACATATAAGCAAATGGCAGGAAGAGCTGGAAGGAAAGGGGTTGATACTACAGGTACATGTTACTTTACTTTTCACTGTGTAATGCAAATATTGCATTGATTGACTGTTGAGAGAATCTGGTGGGAGAAAAAATATTGTTTTATAAAAATATAAATTCATAAATGTACCATTCTCTAGGTGAGAGTGTATTGGTGTGTAAAGAAGCAGAGCGTCAGAAAGGCATAACTCTCCTCACGGGTAATCTTCGACCTATCAGCAGCTGCCTGGGAAAGGGTGAGGGAGAGGGTGTCACCACCAGTATGCTGCGGGCCATTCTTGAGGTACAGATTGAAAGAAGAGTTAAATAATGCATGTATACAAAATACTTGCATTATACGCATTTATTTAACTCTAGATAATTGTTGGAGGTGTTGCAAGTAAACCACAAGATGTCCGCCTGTATGCTTCATGTACACTTCTGGCTGCTAGCCTATGTGAAGGGATACAGACAAATGTAGAGACCAATAAGGGAGCGATTGAGGCCAGTGTGGAATGGCTCATGGACAACGAATTCATACATATTCAAAAGGAAGAAGGTGATCACAAACACATCTCTTTTTATTATTAATATTATTATACAGATTCAAACATCTGTGTTGTGTTTGCCTACCAAGAGGAGCGGTACTGTCCAACTCAACTGGGTTCTGCCACCTTATCTTCATCTCTCTCACCTCCTGAGGCTTTGGGAATATTTGCAGATCTCCAGCGGGCTATGAAAGGCTTTGTGCTGGAGAATGACCTGCATATTTTGTATTTGGTATGTTGTCAAGCAACATATATACAGTTTCCGTCATCAAAGTACAAATGTGGCCCTGCTGTCTGTTAATTTCTCTGCAGATCACTCCACTTTATGCAGAATGGACTACAATAGACTGGTATCAGTTTTTCTGTCTGTGGGAACAACTCTCATCCTCAATGAAAAGAGTTGCTGAGTTGGTGGGGATACAGGAAGGCTTTCTTGCACGGTCTGTGAGTGGAAAGCTTGTTGCCAAGACAGACAAGCAGCGAAGGCAGATGGCTATACACAAACGGTAACACTATTGTTTAAGTTTTTAGGTTAGTATTGGTAGATGGAAAACGTAGGATTTATTTAAAGGTATATAGGAGGATTTTATTTTTCCGAGCGGATCATCAATGACATAGAACCGTGGTACATGCTCGTCAAAAACAAGACCTTCCCACTGATGTTTCAGTTGCAAAGTTTCTACTCCACAGGTAAAGTTGGGATTTCTATTCAAGAAATCCATTTAAAATCACTTCCAGTAAAAGTTATCTAAGTCTATATTGTCTGAAATAGTGAAAAAAGTGAACATCTTCTATGCCGACAGTAACTTACCCAGAGTACTGGGTTTTAGTCGGCGTTCCCTCTCGGAGTAGGTAGAATGTGCATTTTTTCAGACAGTGGAGAGGGGGGCTCGTTCCTAAATTTCAGGAAAATTCTCCTATGTACCTTTTAATTGTCAGCAATTATACATTTTGACAGTGTAAAGGATTAGATCAATTGATTAGTCCATGGATTCGTTACAGTAAAAAAATATTGTTGGTATCATCAATGTCCTGTGATGACGGAATGGAGTACTTTCTATACATCTCTATTTTATCTACATCTTTTATGATGTTTAATTACTAAATATTTGTTGACAGGTTTTTCACCACACTTGTTTTACATGATCTTGTGAATGAGGTTCCTTTGGGAACAGTGGCATCCAAATACAATTGCAATCGTGGACAATTGCAGTCTCTACAACAGTCTGCTTCAACATATGCAGGTACACAATCATTATAAAAGATCTAAAAGAAGGCAATACTGTGTGTGTGAATATATATATACAGTGCCTTGCGAAAGTATTCGCCCCCCTTGAACCTTTCAACATTTCGCCACATTTCAGTGGGGCGTGCAATATTATTCGGCCCCTTTACTTTCAGTGCAGCAAACTCAGTCCAGAAGTTCAGTTAGGATCTTTGAATGATCCAATGTTGTCCAAAATGACTGATGATGATAAATAGAATGCACCTGTGTGTAATCAAGTCTCCGTATAAATGCACCTGCTCTTTGATAGTCTCAGGGTTCTGTTTAAAGCGCAGAGAGAACCATGAAGACAAAGGAACACACCAGGCAGGTCCGAGATACTGTTGTGGAGAAGTTTAAAGCCGGATTTGGATACAAAAAGATTTCCCAAGCTTTAAACATCTCAAGGAGCACTGTGCAAGCAATTATATTGAAATGGAAGGAGGATCAGACCACTGCAAATCTACCAAGACCCGGCCGTCCCTCCAAACTTTCATCTCAAACAAGGAGAACACTGATCAGAGATGCAACCAAGAGGCCCATGATCACTCTGGATGAACTGCAGATTTATCATCATCAGTCATTTAGGACAACATTGGATCATTCAAAGATCCTCACTGAACTTCTGGACTGAGTTTACTGCACCGAAAGTAAAGGGGCCGAATAATATTGCACGCCCCACTTTTCAGTTTTTTATTTGTTAAAAAAGTTTAAATTATCCAATAAATTTCGTTCCACTTCACGGTTGTGTCCCACTTGTTGTTGATTCTTGACAAAAAATCAAAATGTTATATCTTTATGTTTGAAGCCTGAAATGTGGAAAAATGTAGAAAGGTTCAAGGGGGCCAAATACTTTCGCAAGGCACTGTATATTATATATATATGTATATATAATATATATATGTATAATATATATATATATATATATATATTTTTTTTTTTTTTTTTTTTAAATATCTGGAATGCTTATTGATTAATGTATGACTGCAAAAGAAAACTACTACAAATATAAATTGCCTTTTTCAGGTATGGTGACAATTTTTTGCAAGCGTTTGGGTTGGCACAACTTGGAGCTACTGCTGTCCCAGTACCAGACACGACTGAGCTTTGGAGTCCAAAGAGAGCTGGTTGACTTGGTTCGGGTATCAATCTTAAATGCGACTAGAGCCAGAGCACTTTTTGCTCAAGGGCTCTGTACAGTTGCTGAGCTGGCTAGAGCCACTGTAGAGAATGTGGAGAAAGCACTGAGGAATGCTGTTCCCTTTAAAAGGTGGGTATGCTGCAGGTTGTTTTGTCTCTAATGCATTATTATAATGCAAGTTTTTTTTACAATGAATTCAATTTTTCACATAGCTGGGATAATTATACTTCAAATAGATATGTTGTGCGGTTACATAATGTACTTATCATAAGAGTAACAGTTTTGTGTCTGCATTCTTTAGCTCTAAACGTGCAGTGGATGAGAGTGAGTTTGAGGCTGCAGAGAGGAGAAGTCTCCGCTGTGTCTGGGTGACTGGAGGACGGGCTCTGACTGAACAGGAAGCTGCAGTAGAGATCATCTCTGAGGCACAGATGCTCCTTAAGGAAGACCTTGCTAAGTTAGGAATAAAATGGGACCCTTCAATATGCCCTCCTGTTGCACCCGACATGGACTCTTCTGAAAGCTCATCTGAATCTCCAACTAGATCATGTGAAGTACATCTAAAAAACTCTACAGCGGGCCGCAGTGAACAAGTTAACGCAAATACTAATACAAAAAATGAGGATAACGGTGGAAAACCAACTGCAGCAGAAGAATTCATAGTCTCAAAAGAGTTTGAAAAAGTTGAAAACAATACAGAAAATGTATTACAAAAAGAAAAGCAGGCATCTGCACCTGAGACACAATGCAAACCTGAAAGAAGCCTGACACAAGAATTATCGGCAATTGTTTCAAGCCCTTCAATTCAAGCAGTACCCAATCCAGGCATCCAACTACCAACTTCACCTATGCCCCCCATCCGTTTCAGACCAGTAGGATCTAGACATGAAAAAAGTGCTTTGGAGGAGACCACAACAAGGGATCATGGACCCAGAGGGATTGCACAGTCACCACTTGGACCAGGCGGATCTTACAATATGGTCCTAACTAAAGTCCTCAAGTCAATACAGATAAATGACAAGTCCCTGAATAAAACAAACTGCGCTACTTTTTCTATGATTCCAAGTACCCCAAACAACGCCTCTCAGGATGGGAAGCCAGACAATGAAAATGTGGAAGATTCTCCTATTCCCGAATCGCATGGGTCAGCTCCTCTGTTCTCCCCAGATGCAAAAAGACAAAGATTAGCAAGTGAGGAGAAGTTTTCCTCCCCTGAGTTATATGCAGGACAAGAAGAGGTGGTGAAAAGAGGCGAGGAGACTTTTGGGTACAGTTTGGAATTGGACAGTCAAACTGAACATCTCATGGCACAGCAGACCCACCAACACAGGACTGAGACTGATAAGGGAGGAAATGATGGAGAGGAGGAGGAAGATAATTTAGAGGAAGTTATAGAGGTACAGAATAAAGCCAGTATGAAACTTATTGCTGCAGAGAAAGATGAATTTGGTTCTTCCTTGACTGATAGCCAAATGGAACTCATGCTTCTCACCAATGATCAGGTTTGTAAAAAAAAAAAATCACAGCAATCAAATGTTTTAGTAAATGTACTTTGTGGTTTTGGGGGCTTCATTTGAATTTAAGCTTCTACTTTGTGACTAAATTAATATAAAATAAATTACATTTGGTTGGGGTAAACAATTAAGTACACACATTTCAAACTTTTAGATGATTCTTTTCACTTCTCTGCAGATCCGTCCCGCAAGCAAGAATGATAATCCAATGGGAAATGCGTTAACAGAAGATTTCAATTCGAGTAGAAACCCTGCACCTTCAGATAGTCCTAATCGAAGCAGTAGTTTTATATTTGATAGTTTATATGATTGCAGCTTGAGCCCAAATAATGAGGTTAACCAGACAAATAATGAGAGTGCTGAACCAGGATGTCCTCTACCGACAACACAGGAGCGAAGAAGCAGTGAAGTCTTGGCCAATCAGGAAGTAGAGAGGCAAGAAGCTATCCAATGGGGTGAATCCTCTTTTAATCTTTCAGAGTGGGGGGATTCTCTAATTGTCAGTGAACATTTCTTGGAAAGGCAGAGTGAACTTCAGCATAACGAGAATTCTGAATCCCCTAAAGCTGACAAACCCAAAGAAAAGGAAACACAATTACGTTCAAGTACCAGACCACTCCATGTTGAGGTTAATTCTTTTTCAGAGAACATGGAAGTGGATGCTGTGTTGGAACCACGTCTGCAGCCGCAATCTGAACATAATATGTTATGTAGTCCAGGTGTCCAGGAAATCTTTGATCTTTGGCCTAGTATGACAGACGAGACTTGGCAAAAAACCTCTGCTTCTTCGATGTACAATGCCAAAAAATCATCTCAAAATCATCCTTCTGTTCCACAAGAGAGAAAAGACAATGCCATCGACCTAGTTCCACCTACTCAGCAATCTGCACCAGTGACACCAAAAGTCAAACGGACCATTTCCTCCACTTCCCTTTCTACTCACCCACTGAGTCAATCAACTCCTACAAATGTTCTTCCAGTCAAAGCAAGAGTAAGAAAGGGTCCTCCATCTCTCTCAGAAGCCATCCAACATCCCAAATCGGTCATTAAACCTAATCAAGAAACAAGCTCGGATTCAAAACCTGCTCCTCACAACAGCGCTGCCGTGACTTCACAACCAAAGTCTCCGTCTGAGCTTGAACCCTGTGAGGTTGGCGAAGGATTCAGCCTGCAGTTATCGCAGGATGTGAGCCCCACTTCAAGTACCCCCCGAACCTTCTCCATCATTGATGTTGCTGGCGACAAGCGTCTCTTTGATACATTTATGAACGAATGGAAAACAAAAGAGTGTTTCTCTTTGGCTTTGGCTTGTGAGAAAAGATCAGACAGATTGGAGCAGCTTGATGTGGGGATGAGAACCAGGCAGAAGAGAAGTAATACTGGCTTACAATAGCTTTTTATTAATTGGTTAACTGTCATTTTTAATTGCATGTTCCTAACTAATGCACACGAGAGGACATTAGTACAGTTCTCGTCAAAAAAACATAAAAAAGGCTATAATATTGAGTATGCCATATTATAGGCCATCATAGATCATAACCTAAATGAAGTAATCCCTTAGATAGGTGTGCTAATTTATTGAATATTCAGTTATTATTCTGTGTTTGTTATGTTTCAATTTTTATGTTTACTGCAGTGATATGACCTGCTCTGTATCTTCCTTTGCAGCAATAGCAGCTTCTCATAAACAAAGTCAGATCGATGGTTTCCCAGTCAAAAATGGTGATGGGCATGTTCTCATGGGGCTGTCTGTCTGTTGGGGAGCAAGAGATGCCTTCTACATATCATTTCAAAAAGAACAAAGCCAAGGTAATGTCAGCAAAATCCATACCTTTTATTTTAAGTTGACTTTCACCTATTTGGTTTCTCTGAACACCAGCATTCTTTTGTTTGTGTGTGTGTATGCGTGTCTCTGTGTGTACCAGGCTTTAGCGCTAGTTTGGCTCCTCCGTCTCTAGATGAGGCGTTGAAAATCGATGAGAGACTGGAACAAGTAAAAATGTTGCTGGAAAATGCACCCAATAGTTCTGAAAAAAGCACAGCAATCGTGTATGATGTCATCGAGGTGTACAAAACCCTGGTCCTGAGCTGTGGGGTCAGCTTGGAGACCAACTGTGAAGACCCAAAGGTGAACACTAATCTAAATCTACTTTGTTTATAAAGCACATATATAGAAAAGAAAAACATTCAGACATTTGTCCACGGTCACTTACAGTATATGCAATGGACCATCAAATGTACCTCTTGGTGGGATGAGGTACAAAGCAATGACTGGGGCACTCATGGTCTCACGGTGGAGAGATTTCATGGTGCACATTACAGCAGAGAAAGAAGGAAATAAGAGCACTCAGATTGCACACATCAAACAGAGTCTATTATTAAAGATAATAGACAATGTAATTCAAATAAGATAATAAGATGGTAAAATAGAATAAAATAAAATATACTCTGGAGCTAGAATTGCACCTGGTTCAGAAGTATTTACAGATATGTATTGTACTTTAGCTTCAGAGAATATGAGCAGAATAAACATCAGTATTAATATCAACAGGTAAAGTGACTTTTGAAAGGCAGAATATCAGAAATAAAATCAGAAAGAAATAATGCTGTAATAAGAGCAACAAGTAAATTGACTAGTGAATGACAGAATATCAGATGGATGGATAATGCAGTAATAATAATAACAGGTAAAGCGACTAGTGACAAAGTTTCTAGTGAGTTTTTATCAGTGACAGAGATGTAAAACCATTTAAAATGGTAATGTATGAAATGGGTGTTCTGATAATTGTGTCTACAGATTGCATGTTGGATGCTGAACCCTGGCAATGAAGGCAAGATTCTACACAATATGGTGACGGTGTATTGTCCCGAAGAGCTTCCTTTGCTGGAGGGACTTGGAAGTGCACACACATATTGTCCCCGTGTGAAAGCAGCGACTGAGAGTGTGCTCCTTCATGCTGTCATGAACCACCTCACTGGGTTGCTGGAGAAGGACGGCATGCTAGGTATGTCACTGAGTTACACATACACACATACAAACATGCACACCAAAACTTACCAATTTTGACTTCAGACTTTTTCAGAAGGGTTGAGATGCCGTCTCAAGTGTGTCTGGCTCTGTTGGAATTGAATGGAGTGGGGTTTAGTGTGGAAGAATGTGACAGACAAAAACATGTGATGCAAGCCAAACTCGCAGCTCTTGAATCTCAAGCATACAATCTGGCCGGACATAGCTTCTCTTTAACAAGCATTGATGATATTGCACAGGTCAGTACACTTGTTTTCAATAACAATGGAACATGAACAAAGTATTCAATTACACCATTCAAATATTTCAGGTGTTATATTTTGAACTCCATCTGCCTCCCAATGGTGATATTGGGGGCTCAAAGGCTAAGAAGACCCTCGGCTATGGCAGAAGAGGGGGTAAAGTGCGACTTGGAAAGCAGTTCAGCACCACCAAGGTACAATCACTTATAGTCTAATGTAGGAAAGTGTTAATGTTGTTATTGATTATAAAGCATTTTTTGCAAGGATGTTTTGGAGAAACTGCGCCCCCTACACCCTTTACCTGGAATAATTCTTGAGTGGAGAAGAGTCACCAATGCCTTGACTAAAGTGGTGTTTCCACTTCAGAGAGAGAAGCGGTACCATTCTGGATTGGCTATGGATAGAATATATCCTATTGCACAGACACACACAGCCACGGGTAAAACATACTGTAAATATCGATATTTCAAACATTCTAATGCAACTTTGTGTCCTCTCCAGGTAGAGTGAGTTTCACTGAGCCCAACATACAAAATGTTCCAAAAGATTTTGAGATTCATATGCCCACAGTTGTGGGTGAGAGCCCTCCTTCACAAGAGAAATGCCACTTAATCACCAAATCGGGGCAAGTCAAATATTGGCTAGTAAAATTAAACAGTATAACAATACAAAATGAATAACGTCTTGCTTATTCATAGGAAAAAGAGAGCCTCTGTTGCACCTACCTCTGCAGCCAATAATGCAGTCACAGGTCCTGCATTTTCTGTCAGCATGAGACATGCTTTTGTGCCATTTTCAGGTAAAATCATTTAACATAATCATTTTAAATAATAATAACCAATTGAACATATCATTTTCAAGGATAATTTTGACTTTCACTGTGCTGTCTCCAGGAGGGATGATATTAGCAGCTGATTATTCTCAGTTGGAGTTGAGGGTCTTGGCTCACCTTTCAAAGGATCATCGGCTTCTACAGGTAAGATGCATGTGATGTAAAAAGCATGTTTTAAACTAAAGCTTATTAGCCCATGGGTCGTGACAGGTACTTAATGGAGGAGCAGATGTCTTTCGCTGCATTGCAGCTGAATGGAAAAGTGTTGATCCTGAGACTGTGAACGACAACTTGAGACAACAGGCAAAGCAGGTCAACATCTTTTCTAGTATGATATGAATTAAGTCATACTACAGTAAAACATGTTTCTTTCTTACTTTTTTAGATTTGCTATGGCATTATTTATGGCATGGGGGCAAAGTCTTTGGGGGAGCAGATGGGGGTGGAGGAGGATGACGCAGCATGCTACATTGAGAGTTTTAAATCTAGATATAAAGGTTTGCAAAATCCATTTATGAAAAAATAATGTAATACAAATATTATATTCCATTGAAATTCATTTCTACATTTCAGGGATTAATGCCTTTCTTAAGGAGACTGTGAGAAATTGTGTGAAGAATGGTTTTGTTCAAACCCTGATGGGCCGCAGGAGGTACCTTCCTGGAATCACAAATGCAAATCCACACTCTAAAGCACATGTGAGTGTGATTTTTAAACATAGGACATAAGGCGTGTGTGTATGCCTGAAGATGAGGTGTGAGAACGAATGTCATCCTTTCTTTTATCTGGCTTAATCAGGGACTAGGTCACAAAGAGATGCCTAAACTTCCCTATTCATGTACCCTTCCATACAAGAGTCATCTCTCTTCCGTCTGCTACAGCACACAGAAGCAGATGGGATGTGGGCCTGGCTTCAGGGTGGGCCCTGGCTGCACCATACTAGGCGAGAAAAAGTCTAGTGTGACAAGGAATTCCATCATCTAATGCGTGACATCAAAGTGTCTACTCTTTACACATTTTTACCATCAACCATTTAATAGGTCGTGTGCATGTTCTAGAATTTTAACTCAGATTGAGGACGAGGGTCGATAATGAAAAGCTTTCTTTTTTAAAGTGAAATGATAAATGATAATAAAATGGTCAATCACTTTTTTGATAGTGATTAAATTCACAAACCCACTTGTGTTATTGAACTTTCAACTTTCAACTTTCAACTTCAACTTTCAACAACAGTTGTATTTTGGGCTATGAAACTTGGGGTGATTACAGGGTGGTCACATGTCACATGGCAAGGGGTACCGACCCGGCAGGGGTACCGGCAATTGTGTGATTAAACATGTTTTTTAAATTCCAGGCAGAGAGGCAGGCAGTCAACACAACAGTTCAGGGCTCTGCTGCTGACATTGTTAAACTCGCTACAGTCAATATCCAGAAACATCTGAGGAAAGCCTCTCCTACAGCTCCACTCTCTCTCCAGCATGTTCCCTCAGGTAACTAATGTACTTTCTATTCCTTCATACTTTAAATAAAGTAACCTGGATTTTATATTTCTAAAGAAAAACTCCAAAGAATAAGTACATTTTATCAACGCGGTGCATATTTTGTTCTACAACTACATGATGAACTCATCTATGAAACTTCAGAGGAGAACCTTATACAGGTATGAATCTACATTCAATCTCAACATATTTCCTGTTATGTTAAGGATTTAATTTGGAGATAATTTTCTCTTGTCATTACCCAGGTCGCTCACATGGTCAAGAGAGAGATGGAATCTGCAGTAAAACTATATGTAAAACTAAAGGCCAAGGTCAAAGTAGGACCAAGTTGGGGAAATTTACAAGATCTAGATTTATAATGCAGATTTATTTTTTGTAAATAATAGCTGACAGATTTTTATATAATAAAAACATGAAATGTATAATTAATTATGAAATGTAACCTTGCCTGAGGAATGAATATATGAATACAATGTAATAGAATAATTATTTTTATTCATACAGCTCATGAACTGTATTTCTCACATTAATTTTGTGTGTATTTATTGTAAATGTGAGATTGTCTTTAGATAAAATCTAACATTTTAATGTTGTGTCCATTTTAGTTCATTCTTTCATTACCTTTCACAGGTTTTGGATCTTATACAATAAGATCTCTTGTGCATTGCATCAAAGTACAAGAAGCATGGCTGGAATATTTTAGTATTTTTGTAGTATGAGTAGTCTGTTTAGGCTGACCACCTAGCACAAAAATGATACTACTGAAGAGTCTATCAAACCAAAATAAAAATAGAATTGAGAGTTTATTTCACAAATGTACAGTTCTGCTACTTGAGCATCAGTGGATTGCACCGGCTGTGTCTGAGGCACCAGCAAAGCCAGAGTAGACATTAACCATCTTAAAGCAGGGGGTCTATGATGGAACCACCAGCTTGTTCATTTCACAGAAAAAGCTTTGCCCCAATGTGCAGGGGTAAAACCGCACAGAAAATAACTTTAAGGACACAGGAGGTTTGCTGTAGACATCGCAAGGCATCAGGGCTTTTCCCCACCACTGCTGAAATAGTATCTGATGGGAGGCCCAGGCAAATCCTCCTCTCCTTCTGTCTCTGGTGCAAAAGATACTGTGAGATCAACATAGCGCCTCTCTGCTGATGGCTTGATAAGTTTCTGCATCCTACAGAGAACAAATGTAATTTTGTTTATGAATAAACATGTTGGAGGTGTTCCGACTTCTTATTAAACTTACGTTAGCTTAAGTCTTTTGGAGTGTCCAGGCATGACGGGCACATATAACATCTTGACTCCATATACAACCATAGTAGGTTCAATTCCATATTTTTCCTATTAAAATAGTAATTAACATGTTACATATGTTTAACATTGCATTACCGTGTGACTCAAATAGACTCACCCGTACTGCATTCATAAAGTCTGACAAAGTAAAATCATGGTGTCCAAAAACTGTCCAACAATCCCAGATAGAGAAGTAGATGTTGTTCCTGGATTATAAAACAGTTTGTTAGAGATGATTTAACGATAATATACTGATACAAAATAGTTAAACATTTCAGACACTTTTCAAAACAGATGAATCCTATAACAGAGAACACATCCACAATCCTTAGCAAACTTTATATAATGCATTTAACAAACAAGAGGCTTTACAATTTTGGTGAGTTTTCATTCATTGCATTCATCTATTTTGTTTAATTTTTTAAACAAAATAGAAGCCGTTTCTCATCTGCAGTCTCAGGTGTGTGCCAGAAACAACTCCAGGTGTTTTTTGATGAGGGAATAGTATTGTGGCATTAAGAAAACTCAATTACATGGTTTTGCTGTGTGTCGGTTATGATAATATGTTGGATATGACAATTCTTGTTATCATACACACCGAATGAGTGTCTTCTTCACGGGGGCTGGTTCGGTGAGCACCATGACTGGGATGGCCAAGTTGAAGAAGCAGTTTTTGAAAGACTCAAACCCATAGCCTCCAACCACTTTTATCAGCTCTAGTGCCACCTGAGAATGTTTATTGTGTGAAACTGGTAAATATCTGATAGATTCAGATGCTGTATTTTCTTACCAGTCCTGCCACAGCTGCTGTTGCAGTAGCAATGGCAGGAATAATCTTTCCAGCGATGCGCTTGGTCTTAAAGCGGTCTGCAGGTTCAATGGCATACATTCTGGCTCTCAGAGCTGATGCTGATGTGACGAAGTCCAGGTGACCATTTCTGTCATCATCCTTTTCAAATTGTAATGAAATCATTTGTAGTGTCTCTAAACAGTGTTGGAAAAAAGTAACTATAAGTTTCTTTTGTTATCATCAATTTATGTATATCGTGCTTTTCTGAACCTGGTGTGATGCCATTGGTCGCAATGGCTTTCTCCAGCTGTTCAATGGCCTCCCTCTCATCTTCACTGCTTGTTGCCAATTTAATCTCAGTTTTTTTAGCAGTCTCATCCGTCACTATACTCTGAAAATAGAATAAAACAAGATACTTTATTGATCTGACAATGGAGAAATGTACTTGTCACATTTGGCATAAATATTATCACTCAGGGTGTGCAATAGACAGGAATAGTGCAACCAGGGAATGTGCAACATGTAAAAAAGTGAAAAGATTGTCTCAATTGTGAAAGATATATTATGTAAAATTACATACAAGTGACTATAGCACACTATAAGAAGTGTTTTCAGACCAAAAGCAAAATGAAAGCCCACCTTGTCTGTTGGCTGATACTGTGGAACAGCCACACCTGAGAGGATTTTACCAACAACCTCTTCAGAAAGATCCTAGAAAAAAAACAATTTGATCAAATAGTATGCCACGGAAGAAGCAAAAATAACTAATATAGGATTATACATTACCTTTTCAGTGTAGGGAATATTGTAAATCTCAGCATAAAGTCGAGCTGTGCTGACAATGAAAGCAAAGTGCCTGCCATAAAAATTCAAAATACATTGTGTATTTAAAACAACATTAAAACTACAGATCAAATCCTGCTTGGCATCATACTTACAACGGATCTTGCAAATCAAAGTCAATAGGTGCTGGGGGACGTTTTGGGGACTGCCAAAATAAGCCTGCAACAATAGATTAATGAAGGGAGCAGTACAACATTTTGGTTCAAATGAACATTGTGTAAAACCTACTTCCATCTTTTAACCTTGTGTCCAGAGGAAAGGAGTGCAGAAGCTGAAGGGCCTGTGTAAAGAACAGAGTGAATCAGTACAAAGTCTTGTATTATAAAACAAGGTCAACAAATGTATGCAAGTTATAGAACCTTTATTTTGAAATACTTCTCAAATTTCAGACGAGCAATGGAAATGCACAGCTCCCAACGGCCTGGCCTTCTACTCAACAACTTCATGACCTGGAAGGAACCCTCCAGACTTTCTCCGGCCCTCATCCTCTACAATAAAACAGTTGTGTCAACAACATAAAACACACATCTAAGCAGAACACCTCCGCAGAAATATCTCTCACCTGAAGGACAGCTTCTGCTGAACAGTGGGACTGCCAGAATGAGTTGTACAAGGATGGTTTATGGGTGAATGCATTCTCAAACTAAAAATAAAATATATTTACTTTCAGTTCAGATCATTTCACGGACAATTATCTGGATGTTTATCAAACCTTGTCTCTTGCCCATTGGATGGTGTGCTCTATAACGGAAGGGAAAGACTTGAGTGTACAGAATGGAATTTCTTCTTCTGGGGGGTCCCTCTAGAATCCACATCAAGATTTTGAGTATTTGCAATTGTTACTCATACTTCAAATGTACAAGAAGCTCTATTGACTTACATGGCTGTTGTAGGACTCTGTTAAATTTGGCAAAATTATCTCTGTGTGACCTTTAGTGCCCATAGTACCAGAGTCCAGAAGTGCTTTTTGATTTGACAGACAGCGGCTAAAAAAGTAAAAGAAAAAAAATCTATCAGAACATGTGGAATGATTACATAGTTTAAAATGTTTCTTTTTTACTCGCCTATCCACATATCTGCGAGCCTCCACATTGTCTAAAGCAGTCACCACTATATTCAAATCGGAGAAGAAGGAGTCACTGTAGATCCCCTCAGTCGCTGGACACACTTTGTTGAGATGAGCATCGATCTGCAAGTCCGGGTTAATATCTAGTGTTGCTTCGGCTGCTGTTGTACTCTTCGGTTTCTATGTAAAAGACAAAAAGAAGGAATAGAAAAGCGGCCATAACTAAAATACAGTATTTTAGCTATACAATTATACCCATCACAGTAAATTTGAAAAAAGTGATAAAACATACCTGAATATGATGTGGCCGGAAAAGAAATTGCCGATTGAGATTGGACTTTTCTATCAAATCAGGGTCAGTGATGATAACCTTAAAGAAGCAGTCCATTAAAGAAACACATTAAAGAAGCAGTCCACCAAGACATTCCTCAAAGTGATGGCGACTGCTCACCTCTCCGGAACATTTACCAAGTCCAACTCCAAGCAGAGCAAAGTTCTTTAGCATCTCGCATCCAATTGCGCCACATCCCACCTGTGGTAGTGGAAGTGGCTTAGATATACATTTGTAATGATAAATTGTGAATGGTCTTGAAGCAAATTGTTTACCATAAACACTCTGAGCTTTTGTAGTTCCAGACTCAATGATTCACCAATGCAAGCTCGTAATCCGTCGTACCGGTCTCCTCTCGGATAAAACTCTTCTACAGGTACAGACTGCAATGGACTGACTACTTCCACGGCATCAATATAAAACTGTAGAAATGCAAGTTAGCAATGGATGTAAGAAAAAAAAAAACCACAATATTTTTTTACTTTTATTGTTCTAAAACATACCCACTGCTGAAGAGGTGCAAACTTTCCTGTAATGGCTTTCAAAGCCTCCTGACTGGCAAGCCCTCCGACAGCTGCTGCGAGAGGAGGTAGGACTCCTTTAGCTGTTCTTGCCAAACATCGAATTAACTCAGAATTTAGAGGAGGCTGAACAAAAAGCAAGAAACACAATCATACTCAGATGTGAATGTGGTTTTGCTTGTGTGTTTTAGGAGTTTATATTGAGTCAGGGCCTTACCTTGTTTGTCAAAGTAGAACTAACTTCTTCAGTTAACTTCCTTAAAATGTCAGTATCTTGCAAATGCCTGTTCAAAAAGAATTCATACCAATAAATAGGGCTGGTAAAATTACAATGCAAATGTTTCTTATATGTGTTAAAATGTGTCAAGATAAGATAAGATAGACTTTATTAATCTCACACAGGAGGACTTTACAAGTGCATTCTTAATACAATCATATTTTTTAAATCGGAAATCACAAAACGTTAATAAATTAATTTCTGAAATATCAATTTATTGGGAAAAAAAAGAGATAGAAAAATGAATATTAATATTAAAAATAAGTCAAGAATAATACAATTATCAAATACGTAATATGCCCAAGTAAAATCCATGAACAAAAAGTCTAGGGCTATAAGAGCTGCCACACAGAATTAAAGGAATAGTTCACCGTTTTTACATACTGACATATGTTCTTACCTTACCTTAGACTAGTTAATACGTACCTGTCTGGTCTTAGTCCGTGCGCTCTGTCATGCAAACGGAGCAAAAACGGGAGCACAAATGCAGCCTCCTCTGTATACTGTGTAGGACCAAAGGGTAGCTCCCGCTAGAAGCTACCAAACTCTTCCAAGTGTTCCCTATTAAATGTATATAGTTACGTGACGTGTTACACTGCAAAGTATAGTAACACAGAAATGTAACAGTCGATTTTCTCAGCGGATAAAACGGGTACTATATTGTGAGGCGTAGTAATCTGAGGAGCGCTACGTCCGCGCACTAACTTCTCTCCGTACTACAAGTCACGCTGCTTCTATTGACGGAAGTGAGCGAGAGAGAAGTCTCCGGAGAGAAGTTAGTGCGCGGACGTAGCGCTCCTCAGATTACTACGCCTCACAATATAGTACCCGTTTTATCCGCTGAGAAAATCGACTGTTACATTTCTGTGTTACTATACTTTGCAGTGTAACACGTCACGTAACTATATACATTTAATAGGGAACACTTGGAAGAGTTTGGTAGCTTCTAGCGGGAGCTACCCTTTGGTCCTACACAGTATACAGAGGAGGCTGCGTTTGTGCTCCCGACTTTGCTCCGTTTGCATGACAGAGCGCACGGACTAAGACCAGACAGGTACGTATTAACTAGTCTAAGGTAAGGTAAGAACATATGTCAGTATGTAAAAACGGTGAACTATTCCTTTAATGCATGGGTCAAGAAGTGCACCAGTATCAGCAGCACGTTTGCCACTTTGTCTGCACGGAGCACACGAGGAGATCGGGAACCGCTTATCAAGAGATTCAAGAGAGCAGAAAATGGCAGCATCAGTGTGGATGAGTGCCGTGTGGAGCGCATGTGAGAGGTACAGACAGAGACACAACTCGCTGGTCTGTGGTGCAGCGCTCACACAGATGCTCCAGCCAGATAATTTATGTCATTTAATTTGACGTGATTCAAGAGAAAAATGTACGCAGTGTGTAACGTGACAATTTCCCCAGCTCTATTATTTACAAATAATTATACAATATAAGGAAACCTACTTGATGTCTGGGAGTCGGCCATGTTGTTGCTGAAAATTGTCCAAGGCCAACATGGCAACATGAATTTGCAGAGGTGCCTAGTGTAACACACAGACACGTATATATCAAATGTAGCAACTTCAAAAACGTTTGTTAGTTTAAACCGCTTACCTCTGGCTTGCTCAAATCTGGGATAACAACCTGAGGATCACAAAGCTGTTTCTCCATTGTTTCCTGAAAAAAAAATTTGCAAAGCCCAAAGTTATAAAGCGAATTCTTTGGACATTGATGAAGTAGAGTTTAATTGGTATGAACTTACAAATGTGTACATTTTTGGAGTTTTGACCAGCACCACAAAACCACCATGTGCATATGGACATAGTAGAGTTGTGTCTCCTATTGTGAAACTATGAGGTGAAAGGACTAAAATAAAAGTAAATTAAAAAGATTAATTAATAAGCAAATACTTTTAATAATGCTACAGTCTAGTAGTTTTTGTAACATTTTACCTGAAATCTTTCGTATGGTATCATTAAGTTGGTCCATGCCATAGACCTCTCTAAAGATCACACACTGCCCCGTTTCCAGGCCATGTGGGTGGTTGTCCATACACGTAACCACACCTGGGTTGTCCTTATGATGGGATGCGGTGCAAAGAATACAATTAAAAACACTGGCTTGAAAATGTGTTAAATGTATGCACTGTCAAATAATTACCTGTGTAATACTTTGGATAAATATTTCTTTAGGCTCTTCTCCAGTGGAATCAGAAACTTCAAATTCTTCACCAAAATCACAAAACACTCTTGCGCAAATGCCATAGGTATCACAACCAATAAACTGTAGGAAAAATTAAGCATAACTAAACAAATCTTTTTAATATTTGACTTGAGGTGGACAAATCTGGCTCCACTTGATCTAAAATGAAAAGTTCTGATGGCATAGAGTAGACTCACCCTGATAGGAGGTGACTGGGCGTGGCAGTAGTCATTTATTCTTATTTGAAGGTGTAACCTGGCTTCTGTCAGTATAATACACTATGGAAAAGATTTGTTGAATAACATGAATCTTTTGTTTTGAATGTTGATACAACTATACCTGGTACTTTCTGAGAAAGCTTAGATCAGTATTATCATCTAATGATGAGGATGACATGTCTACATGCACATAGGGATTCAACTCAGCAACCCGCGGACACACTGCTTCTACCCTAAGGCCAGAGATGTGAGAAGAAAACGTTAGACTGATGCAAGGTCTTTAATACCAATACATAAGAAATTATGTATAGTATTAGTGTACACAAATGATTTGTAATATCCAGTTTTACCTCTTTCTCTGACAGGAGACATCATCTTTGTGAATGAAAAAGTTAGACCCCAGATCCCATGTTTCACATTGCTTTGTATCATGGATTGTGATGGCCTGACCAAAACAATAGTAATAATACTGGGATTAGAATACAATCTATTCACATACTGGTTTCCAGTATAACACAAAACGTGCATGCCTACCTTAACACCAGCCAGGACAATATTTTTTGCTGCATATAACGTAGGATGTTAATAATCATTAACAACAAAAATCCATGAGAGAAATTGTGTTCAAAACACTTACCAATTTCAACCCCAAGTCCTCCCATTCCACTAAGAAACACAGAGGAGCGAGCCATCTGCTGCATGGCGTGGTCTCCCAGCACATAGCGCTGACGGCTGCAAACACCACAGTCTGATGGAGTCTATTCAACATGGATCAGACAAACTTACCTGTAAAGTGAATCGTCAATCTCCATGGAGTCGGAGGCCATTCTGAGAGAAAAAGATGAAAAACCTGAATAAAATCAACCTCCTCTTCCAAAAAAATGAAAAAAACAACGCCCTTTGGAGCTAACTGACGTTATATTATATTTCTAGCTAAAGGGGCAAGACAGATGCTTTGGGGGGTCACGTCTGAGGATGTGCTACTGCCGTATCAGATATTTACAGCTGAAGTTACGCGTTTAGTGCTGTATTACTCATTTAAAGCTCCTGTTAGCAGAGCTGCTAGCTAACACTGTCTCATCAGTGTGGCTGCCTAATCACGATCAGCGAGTGATTATTCAAGCCATATCTTAATAACTACTTATTCATTTGGAGTAAAACAACAATGACATATAGATAAATAACGTTGTAATTGTGTGTAATGACGCTACTGCTACCTGTGCTGTAGGAGCAGAAGGATGAATGGCTCCGGTCGAAACTGAATGTAGTTCCGGGTAGTGAATCGGAAACAACAATATCGATACGAACTGTAAAATATTATTATTATGTTCTATTTAATTTTTATTTAGTTAAATATACATTGTAGATAAACAGTGTAATTTACAAATATACATTTATAAAAAACAGGTTAAGGCAAAGTTTATTTTATTATTTATAGGAAATCAATTAAATTAAAAACGAGCTTCACTGACATCTCCTTCCCCCAAAAATACCATTTGCTCTATTTTTTTTTTTTTAAACAGCCATATAAAATATCCATCCAATCCATCATCCTCTAAAATAAAGCTGTATTCCTTTTATTTCCATTCTGAGATGAATTAGGACCAGTTTAAACTCCAAAGTCACAATAGCAGTTACCAAAGTTATAGTAACATCTAAGCAAGACAGAACCTGGTTAGAACTGTGATGGGAGACCTCAGGGATTTCAGGTACCAAAGTAGGGTGGCTGCAGCTGTAAACTGTCATTGCGTTTTAGGCAAGATATTTCAACCATATTGCTTAGTATGAGATTGTCTCTGTGTATAGTGGTTGAAGGAGTCAATGGTATATATACTGATCACCTTGCTTCTGTCAGTCTGCCCCAGAGCAGCTGTGGCAATAGTTGTGGCTCATCACCAGTGTTTATGGAGTGAATGTAGAATGTTGTCTATGAGTGTCCAAAAAAAAGCACTATGTAAAACTGATTTACTACTAAAACTAAATGTAATTTTCAGTTAAATTTGCCTCAGCTGTAAAAGGGGACATGTCTAAATGAAATGTCGGTCAACCACAACCTGTACCAGCTGTGGTTCTTGGAAGAGACTTTGTTGTCCCCATCTATAATTGAAGTGCATGAGTACATGAGGCCCAAACTGAGAGATTGTTTGTACTAAAACAAAATCCAAGCAGTGGCCTGATGAAAGCCTTTTTCAACAGTTTTGCAGTAGGTTTCTGCTGCAGCAAAGTTGAAACAATCAAAGGTCAATAGATAGGTGAAACATTTACCGACTGCTGACCCCCTGAATGAGTCAGAAGACTGGACAGAAAAAAAACATGCAGTAAACGTCCATTTGCATTCAAGTAAACTGACAATAGATAAGGAACTTTCCTATTTATGTCAGCTCAAACTATGCATCTCTTGACAATCATATATGTGGACGTGTGTGTCCCTTTAGACTTTAGAGTCCCCCTCCCTCTGTTCATATTGGTCAGAAGCATAGTGGAGCACCTCCCCCTGAGCTGGAGCCAGACCCAGTGCCCTGGACCTGGACACTTTTGGACCCATTTTACTCCGAAGAGCCACTTTATTTGCAATGTGGTGCAGATTGGCGTTCCGTCCGCTTCAGCGGGTTACGGCCACTCATCTGGGTTTAAGTACAACAACAATTTTGCAGAAAAAGATGTCCTCCCTTCAAAGAGTGTATGTGACTCGCCAAATACCACCTGATGGTCTCAAGATACTTCAAGAATCTGGACGGTGAGTTTTCTTATATGGTCATTTTGTGTTTTAAAGTTGTCAATTTTTTTTTTCAGATTGTAAATTCATGAATAATTGTGTGTTAATGGGATTATTTTATTGTATTGTTTTATTTGGTTGGGACAGTACACATTAATGAACACATCACTTCGCACTCACAAACACACACTCATTCACCCTGAACTATTGCACATGTTTTTAGTGGTAGGGTAAACCAGAGTACCCGGAGGAAACATACACAGACATGGGGAGAACATGCAAACTCCACTCAGAAGAAGTTCTGACTGGGATTTGAACCCATAACCTTCTTGCTGAGAGGAGAGAGTGCTATCCACTCAGCCACTCAGCCCAAACCTGAATGTCCTGATCCAGTTGATTTTCTTGTGTGTGTGTGCTTTTCCAGAGTTCAGTTTGAGTTGTGGGACTCAGACGATGTCCCAATCCCCAGGGCCGAGTTACTCCAGAAGGTCAACGGAGTTGATGCCTTGCTCTGTGTGCTTACAGAGAAAATAGATGCAGAGCTTTTAGATGCTGCTGGTCAGTGAAAATAAGAATGAAATATTGAGGGACAAATCTTCATTATATTCATGTTGTGTTGTTCGCCTCTAGGCCCAAACTTGAAAGTTCTCAGCACAATGTCTGTAGGATTTGATCATCTTAACTTGGAAGAGCTTAAAAAAAGGTGTTTCCCCTTTAACATTGCTCTTGTCTACAGTATGTAAGAACTAAAACTTTTCCTGTCCATAGAGGAATTCGTGTGGGTTATACACCTGATGTATTGACGGATTCAGTAGCTGAGTTAACTGTTGCATTGTTGCTGGCAACATCCAGGAGGTTGATAGAAGCAACACATGAAGCTAAGACGTGAGTAATGATTATTCAAAAAATCACTTTATAACTTTTGACACCAATTTGAAGTAAAAACTAGGACTGAATCTGGTTTGTGACAGAGGGGGCTGGGGCACATGGAGGACACTGTGGTTATGTGGACATGAGCTGGCCAACAGTACAGTGGGTATATTTGGTCTGGGACGAATTGGTAAGACAACTAGACAACAATGAATATTAATATATTATTTTATATTTTACAAAATGTGTTTTCTGTTTATCTTTAAAGGTATTGCTATTGCTGAGCGCTTAGCCCCATTCAAGGTTAAAAGATTCATCTACACAGATGTGGTCCAGCGGCCGGAGTTGGCCAGTCAAATCAATGCAGAGTTTGGTATGTTTGCTTTAATCTATCATGGAATGTAAAGAATACAATTTTTCTCAAGATTAAAAAACAAACTGTTGATTCAAATATAGTATATTGCTATTCTCTACACATGCACTAAAAACAAGTTTATTGCTTTTGGTTCAGTGTCAATGGATGAACTGGCAAAACAATCTGATTTTCTCGCTATGTGTTGTGCTTTGACTCCGGAGACAAAGGAGATCTGCAACAAGGACCTATTTTCTAAAATGAAGAACACATCCATCTTCATCAACACAAGCAGGTCCTTAAGGCCACAAAACACAATCATATGCATATGAGCTTGGTTGTGTACTCATAGTTCCTGTTTTGCAGAGGTGGTGTGGTGAACCAAGAAGACCTTTATGAGGCTCTGTCCAGTGGGCAGATTGCAGGAGCTGGCCTTGATGTAACTGTGCCAGAGCCATTACCAACTAGTCACCCATTGTTTACCCTGAAGAACTGTGGTGCGTGTGGCAACCCCGCTAATGATCTCTGCTGTAAATGGACACAGCTCGTGACCTCTGTTTGTTCTTTCCAGTGATTCTTCCTCACATTGCCAGTGCATCCTACACTACACGCAACGTTATGTCATCCTTGGCTGCGAACAACCTGCTTCTGGGTTTACGTGGTGAACCCATGATCAAAGAGCTGAACTTGTGAAGAGTACAGCAGCTCTTTTTCTCCACTTTCAATTTATTTGCATGAAGTATGTCCTGCTGACATAATAAAAAAGTATTCAATAGAACGTGCTTCCTACATCACATCCCATACAAGGCAAATTTCAGCTTTATACATCCAGTAGTTTCTGTCAATCCTGCCAACACACACACAGCAATAATATACAATACCCCCCTTTTTGGCTGGGTAATTATCAACTGGCGAACAGTGCAGAGAAATTCTACTCTTTTATAATACATTTTTACGGTTACTCCATGGATATAATGCATCCCTCGGTACATTTGGCAGGGTGTAGTATTTTTCTTTAAGTGCAAATGTCACCCAAAGTATTGATCACATTAATATTCAACGCCTAAAGTGCACAACAATATATTGCAAATTAATAAAACGTGTCACATACAAAATACTTTAATTAATTGTATTTTATTACATGAAATAACTACACTGGCTGGAAATCTAGGTTTTACACAGTGCTCATGAATTTTACATTCTTAAAAAAACACAAATTGGACTTTTTAGGTGTCCAGTTTCACATGATTATGAAGGCCCATGAGGCACTACAGATTACCGTAAAATCCAGTATAATCTACACATTTGATTGATTTAAGCCTGTAATGGGCAGAATAATCTGAAACAATCAAGTTGTGGGACACAAGGATATAATCTTATCATTATAAGATAAGATGACACAAACATGCATAAGAAATTCAGTATGTGGGACAAATCCTGTGTTCTTATCGGATTACTGATTATGTAATGACATTATAATATCTAACTTTATTTAGAACATACATACACAAATTACAAACCTAAAAAGCTATTCATAATTACATCCAGTGGTACAATTTTATCAGTAGTCAAAACGCTCGTAGATGGATTGTTTTGAGTTTATCAAATGTTGCATCCTTCAACCAGTATTACAAAAAAACATTATATATATATATATATATATATATATATATATTAAAAAATTGGTTGACTTATTATTACATTAATATATGAATCAAATACAATAACTGTCGGGTTTTAAAGAAATACTGGAAACCAATACAGGATCCATTGGTAAGCTCAAGCAAGAAAGTGCACAGAATCTAAGAATTTCATGGATGAAATAATTGTAACTTAAGAAGAGGGCACGACTGGTGTCTTTTCTTTTAACATTACAAGTACACAATTAAAAAGCATTTCATTAGAATCCCACAGATACTGTAATACGTCTGGAATGAGCACTGTGTTTATAATGTCCATAAAAGCTTATATTTACAAATAAACTACAGCACACCCTTCACTCATTTCTGGAAATCCAACCGTTGGTCTAGACGAGGGCCGAATCCATTGGTTTGGCAAATTGAGAGTCAGTTTGAAAGCTTGGATTACATCGTTTTGTTGCGAGCAGTGACAGAAGCATTCATTCAGAAAAAAAATGGAATGAAAACAGAAATGAATGAGGCACAAATGAACAAATTAAAACATGCTAAACTGGTCTAGAGCAGGGAATTTGACATGTTGCTGTTCTGCCAGCGCAGGCAAGTGGTTTTGGAGTGCTTGTACAGGTGAGAGGATTGGCTGAAACGTTTGCCACACTTGAGGCACGCATAGGGTTTCTCCCCTGTGTGAACTCGAATGTGTTTCTTGCAGTCTGTGAGAGTAAGAAAGGTTTTGCAACAGATTTTACAGGCATATTTGCGATCTCCCTCCACTACAAGAACATTATGTTCAGATAATGCCTTCTTGCATTTGGATAGAACATCAGCTGAAGCTCTGATCAGGTGAGGGGGGAGTGACGTGGGGCTGCTACTGTTCATGTCATAGCCTCTTCCTTCATTGAGAAAAGGAGGATTTGTTAGAGAAGAAGTGGTACCTTGATGACCTCCATTTAGTCGTTCTTCTGAAACCACAGCACCACCCGATTTAGGGGCGATTCGTCTGTAACCAGAATATGTCAAACCTGTGGAGGATGGTCCTACAGATCCTTGAGATGGATTCCCCAGTGCATGCAGCGATAGTGAACTGGAACGTTGAAAATCCATACCAAAGTGCTCAACATGTCCTCCACTAGACCCTAGCCCTCTTGGGTTGCCTAAACTCTCTTGGATAGGACGAAGAAAATAATCTGATTGGAGGTTATCGCTGAAGTTTCCATGTCTCTCAGTGCTAAGGCAAAGAGAGGATGGTCCAGATGGCTCTGCTGAGTCTCGTCTAAGCAGAAACTGAGGAGCTACACCTTCTCCAGTTGTGGTGTTTGGGAGGTCATCTGCTGCACCCAGCACCCCACCATTGCTTGCATAATCTTTGGTGCCTAAAAAGCTTGAAATGCAAAAGCCACCTTTAGCATTCACACGGTTACTGCCTTTGAGAGAACTGGGCTGAAGTCGAGAGCCTGAGCGTGGCAGGGGCTCCATGGTGAAGTCACTGCTCTCTGGACTAAGCTCTACTTTCTCCTCTTCCTGACCCACACGCTCAGTTGGGTCACTGGCTTCCGCTTGTGATGTCACATCACTGATTTCATCACCAGGCTCTGGAGAACTTAAAGGCTCTTGTTTAACCACAACTGCCTGAGGAAAAAGAGGTATACAATTATACAATAGGTCAAAGGCCAAATTTAAAAATCAAATGTAATATATTTTTATCCCACACAAATGTACCTTTTCTTCTGGCTCATCTTCCTCTGTTACAACTTTTACTTTCATCACTCTGTTGTCCTGGGGCTCAAGATCATCCAAGTCTTCCTCTTTGCCAACCCCTGCTTGCATTGCCTCCATCCCCTCTGCTTGACACTGTCCACTGTCAGACTGACTGGGCATTTGAGGGTCATCTTGTGACATCCCAAGGAAGTTACCTACAGTATCTAATTTTGAGTCATTCCCCGGTTTGTGAGAGTCAGGGGAAAGAATGGCACTGTCCTCCCCTGCATTTACACGTCCATCTCTCAGCAATCCAAGGGCAGGACTAGATGGGCACTGCCGCTGCCTGTTTTGGTCTTCAGGAAGTCCCAGAGTAGATGACTTGCGTTTGTAAAAGCGGCGGATTGAAAAGGATTTCTGATCTGCTCTACCATCCACTCCTACACTCCCAACACTGTCATCTTCAACTCCATCCAATGCAGAGGTTACCAGGCTCAGACCTAACTGTTGAAGCAAGAAGCTACGTTGTAGTTTAGAATTGGCCGAATTTGCCACTCTGTTTGAGTTCACAGCTAAGTCAGCGTGCTGCTGTTGTCGATGCCGCTGCTGATCCTGCTGAGTGGCTCTCTCCGTTGAAGATGACATGGGCAGGGTACGTGTAGTGAGATAATGTTTACAAGCTTTGACAACATTATTAAGGTGCAGATGTGAGGCTGCCAACAGAATATCCATGACGTTGCTTTCACCCAGCATCAGAGTTGAGGTGTACATCATGTCCACAAGTGCAGCAAAAGCTTCAGCGGTCACCACCTGGTAAATAGGCAAAATGTGAAATTAATGAGAGACACAAGACAACATATCCTCTTCATCAATGAACAGGACACGAGCATCACCTCACTATCCAGTTGGACCATGTTCATGCTAGCATCTCCATCAGCGACAGTGAAAAGAGCCCTGAAGTGTGTGCTGCAGGCTGCCAGCACAGACCTGTGGGCCTTAAAATGTCGACCACCGACCACAATGACACAGTCACATAGTTGGCCATGGATGCGTTGATAGTTCAGCTGTTGAAATATATGCTCAAAATGGCCAGGGAAATCCATGTCCCTAAAAGACAGAATGTTTTTAAAATTCAAGATTATTTTCAAGAATAATGAGCAAGGAAGTATACAATTATTCCACTGTATGTGTAGTAACAAATCTGTAAGTTCCATTGTATAGATGCAGAAGTGGAAACAGATCACACTTGCTGTTAGCTTTGTGTTGGCTAACAAATGTGGCTACATTTACTATCCGAGGTCAAAACTGCTCTTTAAAAAAACATACCGGTGATAAATGATCTATTTTGTCATAATTAACATTCCACTGTTCCCCACATCAGGGTGCAGCGTGTTTAATGCTGTAGTATTGTTGTAGCGTCTCTGCACTGACCTGTCGGGCCTTAGTTTGTATTACCCGTCAATGTTCGACCCACAGTGGTCCTCAGCAAAGGCTGCTCTTCCTCGGGAACTTGCTTCTGAACGAATTCAGGATGTCATGCTATGTTACGATTGTTAGAGAGATATTTCATTGACGGTAACTCAACTCAGACATGTTATATAAAACAGACTCACACGGTGGCGCTGTAAATGTGTTTTTTGTTTTTTTGGCAGCAGGCAGATTCATGAGTTTGGTAACGCTGCAGACACGGAGCCCGCAGCCACAAGACCGCGCTCACAGGCCCCTATCAACAGGCTTCTTCTTTCTGGTTGAAGGAGGTCTACTCTACTCATTGGCGCCCCTACTGGACGGGCGAACGATGGATGAATAATACTAATATATATATATAAAAGTGTTAAAACTATCTATCTTCTTGGTATTATTATATATTTATTTATTTTTAGATTGCAGGCAGACACTGCAGGCTCAGATATGATTTTAAGAATCCTAATTACGGAAGCCAACCAAGGGGAGGCAGTAATGCGCCAATGCCTTTAATCTGCCCAAAACACATGAGGAAGACCGACCGAACACATGCAAACAACAATGGCGGCCTCCTGTTCCATCGTGTGCTGTAACGAAGAGGAGGTTTCTGATAAAGCTGTTGTTGGTAATTACGGCAATAATATTCCACCACTTTTAAACTAAGGAAGTTCTGGTGAGATCTAAACATTATTTGACTGCTACACCTGTAGCAGTCAAATCGCCCCAAAAACATCGCCCCGAAGCTTTTACTTCTTTATTGGTGCCCAAGCACTCATTCTTACATGGGAAAAATGTTTGTTTATTCAAAGTGGTGCGTTGATCTGTTCTGCGACAAAGCTGGTGTTAATAGTTATTTACGTTTTAGTGCAATTCTCAAATGGAAGCGTTGAAGATCCGGACCAGCTTCACTTTTCTGTGTTCAAAAATACAGATGAAAGAAACCCTAGGAAGAAATCCAGGCGCATATTGGTAGGAAGTTGTACAACAGTGATGGATTGATTTGTACTTCTGTTGTGTATTGATCATCTTGGTAATTTTGTCTTACTGATTAGGTTGCTGAATCGGATAGATTGGCATATGTGGGTGACAACTTTGGACCTGGTTCCATGAAATGTAATAATATATGCAAGTAAGTTTAAAATCTATTCTGATTCGTATATGGACAATGAGAACTTTTTTTTGAGGTCATATTTCAGTATTGCTTTTCTTTCAGATATTATGTTGGAGTGTTGAACAAAGAAACAATGCAAATGGAGATGCACAATGCTCAGCTGTTCCATTTGCAACCAGTTATTCCAGGTACAAACTATATCTCATAATTCTTTGAAATATACCTTTTGTGTAGGGCTGGGTACCATGGATATACATGAGCATTGTGCACTACAGCAGAGCTGAAACTAAATAACTTGAAATGGAAAGGTTTCCAGCCATACTTTAGTTTAGTCTATTGATTTTGTTTGGCTAATGATTTTGTTCATGATTTGTTGTTGTTTTTTTTCCCAAGGAGAAACTGATTCTGAAAAATCTCTGGATACAAATCTGACCTATAGAGAAAAGGTAGCCAACTTGCTCCCTCCAGTATTCACATTATACTCTGACTCTAGCTCTGTGACAAAACATTGTGTTATTCCCCAGGTTGACTCCCTGATTGAAGCTTTTGGTACAAATAAACAAAAGAGAGCCCTGAGTTCTCGGAGACTGAATCAGGTCGGAAGTGATGCTCTGCATCATGCTGTGGACAAAGCAGCTGACACTGTAATTGAACTGAAAGGTCTTGAAGGCAAGCAACATTTGTATAAAATAACTGCACATTTATGAAATATTATTATAATAGTTTACATTGTTTATTTTGTATTTTTATACTCAGCCCTTCAACAAGAAGTGGCAGAAAGTGAGAGCCAAGGAGATGTTGCATTACACCTACCCCCCTCTAATGCACAGGCTGATATACCAGAAAATGTGTATGAATTTGAGAGTCGTATCCTTTTCAATCATTATTTCAGTCACAATGTGATATCTTATGTATAGAAGTATGACTGTCAGTAATGAGTTTCAGTCTTAATGGTAACAGTTTTGTCTTCGGCGGACTTGGAGGCTTTGAGAGATGTTGGAGCCAAGATGGCCGCACTCAGTCCAGATGAAATGCAGAAGATGAAGGATGCAGGGGGGTGAGAATTTGATTAGTACAATTAACTCAATAGATGATGGGGCCGAAAAATAACTTTAACCTATGTTGGTCTCTTTTTAAAGGAACCTTTGTGTCATTAAGCACTTGGAAAATCTACCACAAAGTGTTGAAGCCCGAGAAAGAATTCTATGTTGTTCTTTCTACCTTTCTATGCTCATCCATCTGGCTCGAGAAAGACGCATTAACCGGAAATGTAAGCTAATTTTATTTTGTTTTGTTATAAATAATCACATTCCTTCTAATTAATTTAAAACTACTCTAATGTTTAGTTGGACAAGAGTATGGATGCCCACGTAGTATTCAGAACAAACTGTTGAAGACTTTTACAGTGGAGACTTACAAAAATGGAAGGTATGTAGCTATTATAAGGTCTATGTTAGCTGAACTCTTGTGTTAGCACTGTTCAGGTGTGATCCCAGATGCAACTAGTCCAAAATAGTTTCCTCTGCTTAGCGACCGCTCCTGACATTTCCACGTCTTTTAAGTAAATATGCCATACATTCAAGATTTTAGTGGTTATGGGTGCGTTCTGACTTGGTCTATTTGAAGTAAACTCTGGTGCACTTGGGACTATTTATTCATTTCGCAGATGTAAAGGCACCAAGCAAGTTCACTCTGGTTGAATTTGCTCTCATTAAAACAGATTAGTGATGCTGTGTGGGCTGTTGCATTGCTTCTGAAGTAAAATTAGTCCATTTGACTTACTATAATGAACTGGTTGTCAGTAATACAAAAGCATAATTTAACATTATCCAAAATATGCCTGCGCCAGTGTGTGAGCTGTTGTGTCCAGTTCAGTGTAATGTTTTGTGTACTTCCTCCATGGTGTCTGTAAATGTAAGGCCTTTTCCTTGAATAATTAAAATCACATATGTAGTTTTACCTTGCTGGTTTTATAACATTAAATATAGACCAAAAACTTGTAGCGAGTGTCTTGCTCTGTATGTTAAACACTCGCACATGTAAGCTCTGAATACTGCAGCTGCTTCAGTTTAGGTATAGCCAAACTAGCTAAAAAGGGTTGACCATCTGATACTAAAACAATACTCAGTTGCACAGGTATAGAAACTAAAGAATCTAGAACTTTAGTATTGATAAAAATGTCTTCATAAAAAAAGTATATTTTTACAAAATTGCATAAAAAATGCACTTATCACTGCAAAATAAAGGCCATTAATTTAGTATAGAATCCTGACAACACTAAAATAAGATTTAGCATAGACTGTACATTTACTATGCTGGTGTCAAACTGGTCCTCAAAGGGCCGGTGTGACTGCAGGTTTTAGTTCCAACCTGAGCAGGAGGAGACCAGACCACCTATTTCCTCAGGTGAGTCTAGTTTTAACCCTAAAGATTTGAGGAAATGGGTGAAGTCTGGAGTCCTCCTGCTCTGGTTAGAACTAAAACCTGCAGACACCCCGGCCCGACCTGGAACTGGTTGGACACCACAAATACTGTGCAATCTTTGGTATTAACATTAAAGCCATTGACAAATTGTAAATATTGACCTTGCATCTCAGGATTATATATATATATAATATATATATATATATATATATATTATTCTTATGCTGTCCCTTTTTAAAGTATAAGCATGTTTTATTTACTAACAATCCTTCCTTCTATAGTGTCCAGAATGTCATTCCTGCTTCAATGCGTGTTAAAGTGGCAGCGTATAGCTTAGCTCTGCTACTGCATATGAATTTTATGTCAGCCAATCTAACACTACTGCACCGTGATCTGGGAATTACAGAGGCCAGGTAAGAGATAATGTTTTAAATGTATAATGCATTTACATTCATGATGTTTTTTTCTAACAGAATGATTGAGGTGGCCAAATCAATGGGGTTAACCCTGAGCAAGTCATCAAAGGCCAAAGGAGAAGCTTCTTTGGATGACTACAAGTATGCAACCCTCAATTTACCTCTGGTCAAACATGATAAGTTCACCATGCAACGGAAACGAAGGAAAATGCGTTGAAGTCATAGAAGTTAACTAGTCACAAATGTTTATTAATAAAAACTATTTTCCCTTTTGTTCAACATACAAAAAGAGTCGTACATTTGTCAAGCTTTTGATTAGAAAATATCTTCCTTAATATAAAAGATATAGATATATATATATATATAGGCACATAAAACATCACATATTGCACACCATGAAGTTTACATCTGGTTCCCACAAATCTTTGGTGTTTTTTAAAATCTTTCTATGGTCATTTTTGAAAGAAGCATGGTTGATAATTGATATAGGTGAACACATTACAAAACAAAGCATTGATATTCCCATAGTTGGGCTTTTTCTTTGCATAAAAGGCTCACTAAATATGATCACTGATTACAAGGCACAGATTAATGTTAACATTGGTTTTAACGCTTTTGAAGTTACGAGCCACAGATAAAACATGAAGATTATCAAGTATTGTTGATTCAAATGTTACAATCATGAGTTACAAACTACAGCCTTACATTTTCAGTATTATCAATAATACCAGGATTAGGTCCATAAACTATCCTTAGGCCTAGTGTACAGTAGTTTCCAAAGTGAAGATTGCATTCCATTAGGATTTCTATTCATGAGATTCAATTGTCTTTTTGGTATAATAACTTGGTTTTATCATTCTGTCACTGGTGTTTATGTAGGAACTATTATTACAGCTAAAACGTCCCACATTTGGCTTAATTAGATTGTAAAACTTAACAATAATGTAATGGGTTATTACGTTATTGGCCATTATGTTCTTATCCTACATCTGAAGTGGGACCCACACATAAGGAAATGAAAGTGGCTCCTAGTACACACAAATTATATGATCAACCAGAGAATAAATATAAATGATGAGCCTGACCACCACCGACCAGCGGGATGTCAGTAACAGTGATGCTGAACATTCTTTTACCTACTTTGGGGAATAATTAGTCCGCCTCGCAGGATTCACAAGATCGTGCAAAACATACTACCACTGTGGCATCCGTTCTCTACTGTGGCACTGATCCGGTTGGTCATAGAAATGCCAAGACGTGAAGGATATTGAGATGGGGATAAACCAGTTGGAGAACAAGCTTGTGGGCGAGGGGGAGGATTTTCCAGTGTCCAAGCAGAAAAGGTTTTGCTGTAAAATGGATCAGAGCGTGATACAAATCCAAATACTTAAAGATACCAGCTCTTGACTTATAACACAAAGGCTTACCAGTTATTATGCTTCAAGACATTGTTGTTGTGTAAGACACAGGTCTCATTGCTTGGATCCATGTACAGTAGAGTTTTTTTGTTTCCGGGGTGTCCCTGGAATATGACATTATCATGGACAACACCTCTCACGTCTCCCAGTACAGCAATGGCACAGCCTTGTGCTGGTTGGACACGGTTGCGCAAAACCTGAAGAAAATAAGTCTGAATAAAATTTTGTTTTGTCTTTCATGTATAATGCATAAAAGCAATTATATCCCATGATACCTTGATATCAGCATTTCCAGACACCTGAATTCCATATCCATAGTTTCCAAGCACGTCATTCTCCACTATCTGTCCATTACCGCAAAAAACCACCCCATGACCTCCATTTTCAAAAATGCCGTTTCCTCTGAGTTCCACTCGACTGTCCTTCTCCACTGCAACGCCACCTTTGCCATTTCCCAAAATGCAGTTTGCAACAAGTCGAGTAAGCTGACAGCTTTGCTGAACAGTAATGCCTGTTCCGTGGTTACAATTCACAAGATTGCTAATTGCATTGAGCGGTTCACTGCTCTTCACATAAAGCCCAACAGCTGCAAACAGATCAAAAGTGAATGTGTATTGAATTTATGTCCCGAGGGGCTAATATACAGTAATTACCTCCATTGTAGCTCATACAGTTACCCTCCACTAAGGCCACGCTGATGGAGCGGCGGGCAGAGTGCCGCTCATCCTCACTGTCCAGATCACTTTCCCATGCAAACAACTCCCCTTCGTCATTAAGGTTTTCCTGGCCATCGCGTCCTTCTGCCTCTCTTCTCTCCCCGTTAGCTCCTGCGTCCCCCATGCCATCCTGCCCTGGCCAGCTTCCTTCTCTGACTTCAACGTTCTCTGGATCCTTTCGGCAAAACACCGCCAGTCCATACATGCAATTATGGGTGATGAAGTTTCCTAAAAGCTGTGGGAGGCTGGATGACATAACCCACACTCCACAGCCTTTGTTGGCTAAGTAAAAGATCAAGCACAAGCATTGAGACATTTAATTCATATACATAAAAAATAATACTAATAATAATTTCAATATTATACTGATGTTTACTTACAGTAAACATGATTTCCTTCAATTAGTCCCCGACCTCGTTCTCCCACCACCACACCATCTGAATAACCATGGCAAATATAGTTATTTCTCAAAATTGGGTCTCCACCTCGACGAATGTCCACACCACCCCATTGGTTCTCTCTGATCACATTATCTGAAAATTGCACACAATATTAATATACAGTGAAAAATGGAATCATACAAAGGAGATGTTAGTAGAAAGGCCAAACCTGTTATCATCCCTCTTCCATTTTCATTAATGGCAATCCCTGCAGCCTGGCCCTGAAAAATGTGATTCCCACTAAAGAAAAAAAAAAGGGATTAGCAAAAATCAAATGTAATGTTCTTTGATTACAATGTATCAGATTTACAAACCTAACCACTGGGTTCCCACTAAAGAGTATGTAGACACCAGCCTCTTTGTTGTTATATATTAGATTGTTACGTATGGATCCTTTTCCATTTCCAAGTACCACAACACCAGAACGCAAGCCACTATGTATTCTGTTACACTAGATTTGAAAACAGGTATTAATAGCAATAAAAACAGATATAATATGTAACTAAGGCCCAATGAAAAATAAACCACCATTTCCCACAAAATTGTATAATCTAGAAGTAACTGCAATAAAATGTCATATTTTACTCACCACAATGATCGGGTTTGCCCCTTTTCTAATGTCTAGTCCTGCCTCTCCATTTGAGTGAATGTTATTTTCTGCAATGAGACCCTGAGCAGAAAGGCGCAGAAAGACACCAGAGGCACGGCATTCACACACTTCGTTCCTCAGCATCACAATCTTTAATCATAAATACAGAGACTAACTATTTGAACCATTCAATGTTTACCATTATGCCATTAAAATATAACTTACGGTGGAATTTTGAATACACCGAACGGCATAATTTAGCCCACGGAAAACATTTCCTTCCAGTCGAGCTTGTCCATAATTAGAGACATGAACTCCTCCTTTTCCATCTCTAAATAGGCATCGTCTGAGAATGCATCCTAGAGTAGATGCTGCCAACATGTTGGCCTCAGGATCTCGCTCCAGTTCTTGCTGAAAAGTTAGGGGCTCTGGTGTTTGAGACGGTGGATCAGGACAAGATGCCAGAGGAAGGGAGCCATCTGTCCGGGGCTTCAGTAGGTGGGATAGACCGTGATGGTCACATGGTATTTTGTAATCCAAAGTAAAAGAAATTCTTTTGTTCTGCTTTTCACTATCTTGATTTTCCTCTTCTGCCTCACTATGCTCACCATCACTCCATCCTTCTTCAATAAGAGTGCTGTGACAAACAGCCTCTAACACGACCTTCTTCTGCCATTCCTCTATGCTGACTGAGTTCTTAATGTTGCACCCAGAGGGATGGAGGCCAGCAGCAGTAAAGGAGTGAGGATTAAGATTGCCACTACTCTCTGATACGAAACAAGACGGAAATGTCCTTGTCAGGGCAGCTAAATGCTTGCAAGCCCAGTTTCTTTCGGACGTAGGGGGACCTTCAACTGTTACTGAAGCTGTATCACTGCCTGAAAAATCACAACTGTCCAGTAAACTTAGTGCAACACCTATTAAATGAGCAGAACTGTTCTGTGAGAAGGAGCAAAATCGAGCCTGGCAAGTTCCTGGTCCACGAATTTGTATCTGAGCTCCTTCAAAATTGCAGTTATCAAGTTGGACATGTCCCCATGATGTCTGGATGATGAAAAGGCAGAGAACACACCAAATGCGTTAATCTCAGTACAATTATAATAAACAATAAAAATATTATTACCTTGTAGACCACTGTTGAAAACCATGGTGGCATGAACACTAGATTACATAGCCGGGCAGTAGGACATTGTTGCTCCATACAAACCAGAAGGGCCACCTCACCTAAAGGGCCCAGTCCTATCAGCTCTATGGGCACTTTTAGTGCCAACTCAGCCTGCTCCTCATACACTCCTGGATGCAGAACAACACGATCGTATGGACCAGCTACTCCAAGAGCACCACGTAAGGTCTCAAATTCACATCCAGGTCCAACATGCCAAATTTTGCGGTCTTTTCGTCGGCGAAAAAATACCAGACATGCAGATGATTGGAGCTCTGTTCCGTTTTGAGTCCAAGTACGTGTGGCCAAAGCATGCTGTTTTAGGGCTTCTCTCCAGGATGGAGGTGCTATATGAGGCTGACTTGGCCAATTGGGGTGTCTGCACTCGGGGCAGCACAGGCACAATTGTCTCCAGCGGGTGTTATCCAAGGACAAGACAAGCTCTCGCCATGCCCGACATACCAGGCAGCAGCGCCCCAGGTCTGGGATTGGAAGATATGCTAAAATAAGCCTCCAGACCTCCACAGGGAGGCTGCCCACCTCCATGGCAGCAGTGCACCAGCCGGGAACTCAGGGCTGGGAGGGGCACCTAGAAACGCAGCAGTCATACATTAGGTGTTACCAAAAGACCATGTAATAACAAACGCATAATGAAAGTTCAAAGTGTACAGAATAATGCATAATAGCTTGAATAAACATGAACTCGTTATAAGATTTTTCTTCCGAACGTCGCGTACACTGCGAGCTGAAGGAACACAAAGCACACATTTTGGTGTGTGAGGCTATCATTATTCTAACATGTGATTTCGATTTTTGACGGCTCAAATACAACATTCCATCCACAAATGCACTTAAATCATGAACATCCTTAAGGCTAGCTTCAGCGTTAACAAACGCCATCATACATAACACATCAGCAGCCTGCCTAAACAAGTCAGTGCAACACGTCCATAGTTCGGTCTCTCGCTTGTCTGCCAGTGCGACTTTAATCTCAGTATATCTGTGTTAAGTCCATACCACGAAGACTGCAGATGTTCCCGAAGGATGGTCCGCCTGGTCCTTTAGTTTACGGCAGGAGCAGAAATGAAAGAGGCGACATCTTCCGCTTCCTACAGGATACGCACCAGCGGCGGAGACAGCCATGAGAGAGAGAGGTGGTGCTGTGGATGAAGCTGCATTCATCCACATACTGCATGATGAAAGAAACAATACCACTGTAACAGGCGTAACATCATGTTGACGAGGTGCAGAGGCACTTTATTCCACACATTTCTTTGAGCCTTTTATTTCTATATGTTGAATTTAAAGGTTTACAAAAAATAAACATGTGATAGAATACCCCGTTAAAGTGAAAAGTCCCATAGGAGAATGTGAAATGGTTATTTTAGCCTTGGTGAGAGTAATTTCATGTCTGCTTTACTTAGACTTGACAGCAGATGGCAGTATATCTCTGACTGATCAGAGAACATAGACCTGTGAAGTGGGAACCCCACTTTTTCAAAACATGTATAATAATTGTATTATTTTTTTAGTGCTGAATTTGTGCTTTTTTTGCTACAGAAATTGGAATTTGTGTCGCTTTCCTATTTTAAATATTTCACATTATTTGTTTTATGTGTTAATGAGCCTTGTATCCCTGGATTTGTTGCTTCAAATCAACCCAGTGCTGTTGAAATACATATTTGTGCTGATTTGAATTTGGTTAACTAATAATGATAATAATAATGTTACTCAGTTGGTAGAGCATTGGCCTTTGAGCCAGAGGGTCGTGGGTTCGAGCCCGACCTTCACCATCGACTCTCACTGTCTGCTGTCGTTGTGTCTTTGGCAAGACACTTAACCTCTGGGAGCACCAGCCACAGTGGGGCGGCTGCGGCTGTAAAATGCCAAACTGCCGTTGTGTCCTTAGTCAAGACACTTCACCCCCATTGCCTAGAATGAGTCTGGTGTGTGTGTGAATGGTTGGTGGTGGTTGGAGGGGCCGATGGCGCATACTGGTTGCCTCGCTTCTGTCAGTGTGCCCCAGGGCAACTGTGGCTACAGTAGTAGTTTATCACCACCGTGTATGGAGTGAAAGAATAATGACATGTAAAGCATCTTTGAGTGTCCAAAAAAGCGCTATATAAAACCGATGCATTATTATTATTATTATTAATATCCTAACCCTAACTCTAGCATCAAAGGACAAGAATTATGTGACATGTGGTTATTGCACATTCTGATATTAGTTAAGGATATTGCACTGACGCATGCCACATGAGATCTGGTTGGCAGTGCTCATTAGTCCTCATTGTTTGTTGTACAGCCTGACAGCAGCAGGAAAAACCTGTGCAACCTCTCCTTCACACAGCAAGGGTGAAGAAGTCTGTCATTGAAGCTGCTCTCCAGAGCAGCCAGTGTCCTGCAGGGGGTGACAGTCATGGTCCAGCTGTTGGTTTGTCCAGGACCCTCCTGTCCCCACCTGCCGCACTGTGTCCAGGGAACAGCCCAGGACAGAGCTGGACTTCCTGATGACCTTGTCCAGCTTCTTTCTGTCCCTCTCTGTGATGCTGCTGCTCCAGCAGACCACACCGTACAAGATGGCTGATGCCACCACAGAGTCATAGAAGGTCTTCAGGAGTGGCCCCTGCACTCCAAAACACCTGAGCCTCCTCAGCAGAGAGTCAGCTCTGGCCCTTCTTGAAGAGGGCGTCTGTGTTATGAGTCCAGTCCAGTTTGTGGTTCAGATGAACACCCAGATACTTGTAAGAGTCCACTCTCTCAATGTCCTTTCCCTGGATGTTCATTGGGGCTGGAGCAGCAAAGTGACGTCTGCTGCGAAATCCACCACCATCTCCTTGGTCTTCCCCGCGTTGATGAGGAGGTGGTTCCGCTGACACCAGTCCACAAAGTCCTGTATTACTCCTCTCTTTCGTCATTGTCCTCGGAGCTGAGTCCGATGAGTCATTGGAGAACTTCTGTAGGAAACAACCGTCCGTTTTGTGTATGTTGTGTGTGTGTATATATATGTTGTGTATAAGTACACAAAATGATAAACACCGTACAATTGTAATATGAAAGTCGGCCTATACTATATTAGATTAATAACTATATTAATTGTTAGCAAAATTACAAAACTGCGGAATTAAGGGTCAAATCCATAAATGGCTTGAAAGTTATTTAACCAATAGACAGCAATTTGTTCAATATGATAGTTATAGTTCTGAATGTAAATCTGTTTTGTGTGGAATTCCTCAAGGTTCTGTAATTGGGCCCAAACTTTTTATATAATTTATTCATGAAATATATGAGGCTAAATTAAACAGTATTTAATACAGGGAAGGATCTAAATGAAATAATGGAAAACATTGAAGGGGAAATGGTCAAATTAAAGCAGTTTGATTACATTAAATTATTTCTAAACTGGGATAAAACTTGTTACATGATTTTTGGGAAAAAGAACCCCCAATTATCAATCTAATTAATTATTGATAATGTAAACATTGAGTGTGTTTCAGAAGTAAAATTTTTGGGGGTAATCCTTGACAATAAACTCTGTTGGAAGTCACATATTGATTACATCAGAAAAAAAATAAGTAAAAGTATTGGCATATTGTATAAGGTCAGACATACTCTGGACAAGACTTTGTTGATGTTGTTGTATACAACTCTAATTGTTCCTTATTTTACCTTTTGCATCGAGGTTTGAGGAAATACCAGTAATATGGCCACAGAAAAGTTATATCTACTTCAAAAGAAAGCTGTAAAAATCATCTGCCACAAAGGCCAGAGAGACCATACAAATTATAACTTCTGAAGTTTAAAGATCTTGTTCACTTCAAAATTACTCAAACAATGTGGAGGATGAAGAATAAGCTGGTGCCAGTGCACATCCATAATACATTCTTTTTAATCACAGACAGTTGTAACAGAAGGAAAGGACATTTCGTGTGCCTTTTTCACGCACCACTTTGAAACAGAAAGGTTTCCTTGCAACAGGTCTTAAGCTTTGGAACTCTCTGTATCCCTGTGAAAAATCCTCTACATCCTTGCAAATTATGGTAAATGATTGATTGGTCAAAATCCTACAAAATAGAGGTAAACACAATAAAATCCACAATAACTACAGCAAAGAGTAAGATTGCTATGTGTAAAGAAAAAAAAAACAATAAAACAATTAAATAATAATAATAAATATATAAAGGCGAGCCATCCTATTTCTAATTTCTGTCGACCAAATATGTGTTAAGGGACATGGAACATAAGACTTTGTCTTCCACATGCTCCTATTCAGCAACATGTAATGGAATTGATTTATTTGTGTTCTTATTATTTTCATTATGATTGTAATAATGTCATGGCTAAATAAATAAATAAATAAATAATTGTTCAAATGCTAGACAAGGGTCAATGTGCTAACATGCTGCACTGGCTTAGTGGTTAGCACTCTATCCACAGAAGCTATCACCCATAAAAATGTAGAAATCTAAGGTCCTGGGTTCATATCCCGGTCGGAACAGGGCCTTTCTGAGAGGAGTTTTTATTTTCTCTCTGTGTTTCTGTGTAGGTTTCCTCTGGGTGGTAGTTATAGTTTTGCTTTGAATTAAGACAAAAATGTTTAGTAAATCTATCATTTCAAAGCAATAGTTTTGCATTCTGTCAGATATAATGTAATATATTTTTTTACTTCATAAAGAGCTAGCCTGGCCTCAGCCATCCGTAAACTCTGATTAGTTATAATTTTTCTACAAATGAAATTAGTACGATGGTGTGGTAAGACCAGGCTAATAAAGAGCCGATGTTGACAGTACACAAAAAAGCCCTCTTACAATGATTTTTTTATTTCTTATTGAAGCAACCCTTTTTACAAAGTGAAACACACAATTTACATTTACAAATTGAACAAATACGGACAGGTTTCTTCCCTCAGACCCCACTCCACACCCCTACAATAATACAACATTCAGAAAATATATACATCATTTTTGTATACAATAATCAGATACAGTCCATACATACTAGCCTGGCCTTAGCCATCCGTACACTCCGGTCAATCATCATTTCCCTGCATGTAACGTCTGGGTCTGGTCCCTGTGTTTTCCATCACAATCTGTTGAATTCCATCCGACCAATCAGCGAGCGTGGGAGGGGGGTGTTGTAGTTAGTTGTGGGTGACGTCAAGAGTTTGCGTCGAACGGGCAGGTTGTAGTTTGGCAATGGCGAAAAATGCAATAGTAAAGTATTCTGTTCTGGTTCTATCAAGAAATTGAAGCCGGAGAAAGAGGAATGAGGAATGTAATTACAGAGAGCGCTCCTCCTCACGGGCTCTGTTAGCGGCAAAGGAAATGGCTAGGCTAAATGCTAACAACTCACGCATTACATACTTACTCAGATCCAATCGTTTCAGTCTGCAAAAGGAGTTAACCCCTCCCACCTATGAAAGGAGCTAAATGGAGCACCCCCAGACCTTAGTACGAAATGTAATTTGTACTATGGGGTGGTACGACCAGGCTACATACAGAAGCAGGTATTTACAGGTCTTACAAAATCAACTATCGACTTGAAGATATGGCAAATTTAAAACATTGTCACAACTAGAGCAAGGTGTTTTTAGATTTAAACAAGCCAAAGGAGGCTAGGATCTTAATACAAAACCACAGCTAGTGCCACACACCACAAACTAAAACTATGCATATAACATTTTACTTTATTCAGTGACAGCAATTGCATCGCTTTGAAAAATTTATTTAAATGATGTCATTATTATTTAATATATACCTTACAAAATATTGTTTTTGTTTTTTCCTGAAAAACAGTAAACATAATAAAAGAAAGGGCCTTCTTATTAGCATTTCAAATTAATGTTCCACTATATGACTGTCTCTAAAGCAGTTTATTGTCCAGAATCGAACCATTACAGATTCAAATCCCACCCGATGCTTACTGAGAATAAACCACAACAAGAAGACGTTTCTTTTTTCTTCTTATCTCTTTGACCCACTGAGCGTTGGGGTCAAGGCATATCCTCTGTCCATCCTTTTTAAGAGTGGCATGTTTCTCTTAAGTTGAACTTAATAGTCAAGTTGAATTAAATAGGGATGCACCGAATCGAGATTTTTGGGGTTCGGCCGAATACCGAATTCTACTCCATCCTCAGTCCATTAATGTTTCATACGCAAATGTTTTAACAGCTGTGATGTTGTGTACTGTTTAGGGTCCTTACCACCACAAGACAAATTGAACACGTAGCTCGACTAGAATCACCTTCTTTGGACTGAAAGTACTGCCAAACAACACTTTTTCTGCTCACGAGTTCCATTTTCACTTCCTCACTCACAGCCTGAGCTACCTCATTTGAACGGGCAACCTACGTAAGCACCTTCCTATAATCAACGGCGGCGTCATGACGTTGACCAGCGTAGCACGCATAGTGTAAGCGTAGGGTTCGGTTCGTTGAGGAAAAATTCTAAGGTTCGGCAGAAACCGAACCCCGTCAAAAAATCTAATTTTCGGCTGAATCCGAAAACCGAATCCTGGATTCGGTGCATCCCTAAAATGAAATTACATATTTCTCAGTCCGAGTTGGCTGGAGTTGGCTTTTACAGACTTGCAAGACTAGTCAAGTCACAAAAGGGTCTTGCCTAAAGCCTTCGTTTCTTACTTTCACTTCCTGTGTTTACATATGGAGAGCAAACGCCACATGTGCCAAAGTTTCAAAAAACTATACAGATGGATAAACTGCTTGTATCAATTTGATTTTATCTTCTGCAAATCAACACGTCATAGCTAAATTTTATTTGCATTCTTCGTGCACATGCAAAAAGCATTAGTGGTGATAAGATACTTGTCTCGGCCTGTCAAAGGACTCTATTCTTGGAATGTAAAGTTGTACACGTGGCTGAGCTTGAGGCAAACACACTCACAGCAATACAAAAGATTTGTTAACCCCTCCACTCACATATTTCCCGTATAGTCTCGCCTTCTTTTGGCCCTTTCTACAGGTTACCATGTTCTATTGAAACCAAATGCTTAAGCATTCATTACAGTGGTGTCAACTCTATACACAGCAAAATATCTCCTGCTTTGTCATTGATCACTTTCACAACAGCACAATAGAGAGATGGAGCAATAACGTGTCATGTGTGAATCATTTGTGTTTTTCCTAGCTTCCCACATTGACATTGGAGGTATTTGTTTTATCTACAATCTTTAAAAAATGTATGTTATTCTCTCATATATGTACCCATATTGCAAACCTGACTGTTATAATAAACACACACACACGCAAACTCACACACACACACCTTCCCAGATAACGCCTATATATAAATATATATACACACACACATGTGCACACCCCCCACACATACATACATACGGGTTGCACTTGACGACTTGTGTCATCATATCGAGTGTAAAAGTAAGAATGTTTTTGGAATATCCAGTCACATGTCATGCTTTTTCAACTGCTTTTTAGGGAAGTTTGACCCTTCATATTTATGTCATAAAACACTTACGACTGCAGATTGGTCAATGACATCGCAGCAGTTACTAGCAGTACCAATAGTCACTTACACTCTTCCCTTTATACACTGTGTGTAAAACACAGACATTTTTCCTGCACATATCCTATACTGACTTGTGAAATCATTTCTTAATTAAAAGGAATAACTTGTTAACATGTATGTGTGCCGTGTCCAAAATCACAGTCTGATCAAAGCACTTCCTGAAATTAAGGATTTACCATTATCAAATCCAAAACGTTCTATGTGAAAACCTGAGGTACAGACAGGCCATCAGTAACTTCAGTAACTTCAGGATCCCCAAAGCCATATAAGGACTTATGGCATTTGACGAACTGTTTTGCTCAAATGTATAAATTACATCATGTTAACATTTAGGCAATGTTTTTTTTATCCTGCGTCTTCATTCAAGTTTGTTTTATTGCTAAAAAAGAAAACAAAAATGCATTTGAAACCTTATGTTTATGTGCTTTGTACCTCGCAGAAATTAGCAAAACAAATAAAATGAAATAATCAGAAATACAAACATATTAACATATTTATGAAACAAAGTTAAAATGAAGTACTTCTGATCAGACATATCCACCTCATTAATGTCTAGAGTCAATCATCATTATAATAAATCACACAATTGCTACTTCCTGCTTATTCAGTGAGGTTCATCAGGGACAGATGAGTTCTCTATGGACATGTTTGAACTTGAGGACTGGAAGTTGCGTCAGCTGTGTGCGCCATAAAGTAATTTGCCAGAACTACAGTACACTCACGACCCGATCACAAGCAGTGACTAAATCAAATACCTCAATACCTGAGAATGTCAAAAATGTTTAATGTTCTTTCAATTACTTAGCAGAGTATGTAAAACAGTATGGAGTAAGTTCATTTAATATATTTAAGATAACCTTCCTTTTATATTTAATTTTGGCTTATCATACTGTAAAAGTGTAATAATAATAATAATAAAAAATACATTAATTTAAAAAAAATGACTTGTATTATGTACTCTGAGTAATGAGAAACATTATGAGTATTACAATAGCTACTGTATAGTTGTACTTTACTATAGAAACATGGGAAAGTGATTCCTTTACTGTTATTCATAGTACAAATGGAGTAAAACACAAAAGATTTATTGGCGTTCATCAGCTCCTCATAATAAAAATTCCCACTCAGTTTACAACTGCCCCAAATTGTGCAACACTGGAATGAGTCATTTCGTCATTCAGTTGGCTATAAAGGAGCAACTTGAGCTCTCACTCTCCACAGGAACAATCCCATGAGTGCAGAGGAGACAGGAGAACTCTAAAACACAACTACATCTACATCCGTTCACAGCTGAGCTTAACCTTGATATTTCTGCAGAACTTTTACATTTGTTTCATCGCCTCTAAAGACAAAATGAAGATCCAAATGGCTGCTTTTCTTATGGTGCTGCTTGCTTTATTGGCAACAAGTGAAGGTAATGTTGTCTAATTATTATTATTATTAAAGTATTTCTCAAAGTGATGAGGTTTTAAACTTTTCTCATCAAATAAATGAATGAATGTAATGAATACATTTGCTCTGTCTAACTTGGTCTTTTTTTGATTGAAGGGATGAGTCTGGGAGTCGAGCTGCACTGCCGCTGCATCCAGACAGAGAGCACTGCTATTGGCCGGCACATTGAGAAGATCGAGCTCATCCCTGCGAACTCCCATTGTGACGAGACTGAGATCATGTGAGTAAAACATCTTTTCACCTTTGATATGAAGCACTCATGAAAGCACAAAAGTTTAATGTATTCTGTAAATGATTGATTGTGCAGTGCTACTCTGAAAAAGACTGGGCAGGAGGTGTGCCTTGACCCTGAGGCTCCCTGGGTGAAAAGAGTCATTCAGAAGATTTTAAAAAGGTAAGATCCTGGGATGAGTTCATAAATAGACAATGTGAACCTATATATATATAAAAGGTCATCAAATGTAATTTTGCATTTTCTCCTCTCTCCATTTATTATTTATAGCCGAAGACGATGAAGAGGTGCCAAAGACTGAAGGAATGATGGAGAGACTGGAGAACACATTGCACAAAACCCAAAGAGAAACATTATGTTTGTATCAAACTGAAAAGGATTAAGCTGGTCTTGTCTGCTCTGAGAAAAGAAGGTGCTTTTTAACCTTATTTATTTGAATTCATAAAATATTATATTTATTTTTTTGTATTTATTATGTTAAAAATATAGTTCATTTTGTATTGAGACTATATGTTAATGATGTTTAATAAAATTTGTAAATCTATATCTTTGAGGTTTTTTTCTTGTAGCACTCTCTGTATGTCTGTAGCATATGCCAATTTGTTAATAATAAGGTCCCTCATGTGCCTAATAGGGATGGTGAGGCCTAATTTTTTATTATTTAACTATCCAATATCTATGTGTTCTATATTTTTTGTGTTTAAACTGTTTGATTCACTGATCTGTGTTGGCGATATCAACAGTTTTTTTAAAAGTCCTGAGATAACTATTGTTGTGGTTTAGGCCTTTATAAGAATAAATGGAATTGAATTGAAATAGTTTAATATGTGGTACGGCGTGTACATAGCACTCAGCTCTTCCATTAATATATACAGTCTATGGTATATACAGATGTGGAGACCGTCTGAGTTGGAATTGTATTGATCATTATACAGATGTGGGGACAGTCTGAGTGGGTCTTGTGTTGACCAGAGTGGGATGCAGGGAAGGGGCGGGGCTCCTGCACAGCCGGTGGTAGGTGCGCTGAGCTGTAGTGCGGCGTATGATGCGCGCACAGACAAATTTGCAGCGACGGACGGACGGCTGCTCCAAACCCATTGAAATGCAATAAAATGCTATGCTTGCGAGGCGTGATGAGCGATTAACGGAAATCAAGATCCCTGCTTCAAGGAACCATATATCTTTAGCTCTGCTCGAGACAGTAGGCTTTATATTTGTCGCAGGAACCGCCGATGCGCTTCGGCTGTGCATGAATCTGCCTTTGGTCTGCGGCTCCAGGACAAACAGGAGGTTTTGTTGACAGGCGCGTGTGCGAGTCTTGGTGGATACTATCATTTGAGTAGAGCATATCCGCATCTCCCTCACCTTTGGCATCTCCTTCAGGATGGCGTTAACGATCTGCACCAGATTTACAGATGAATATCAGCTGTTCGAGGAGCTGGGGAAGTAAGGGCATGATTTTTCCCTCATCTGGCATCATCCCGTATGAAATGTCAGCCTGTTATGTAATAGGCCGCCTTGGCTTAAGAACGCGGAATCCAGCCTCTGTGATGCAGTGTTTCATATGTGAACTGCTGTTGTAGCCTCTATTCTCCATCGGTTTATATCCTTTCATTTATATAGAGAATGGCAAATTTCATCACACATGGGCATCCATATCATAAACTGACCCTATGCTACATGAAAAATAGAGGCTGTATTGTTCCAGCTCTTTACGCGTATGCGCAAAGAGCTGGAACAACGTCTTCTCGCTCACTGTAACCTCAACCCGTGTGTAAAAACGCAAAACGGTGATATTTAGAAACCCACCGCCACTGCTAACTACTACCCTTCTTAAATATCTCCCCTGCACCGTCCCAATCGGTCCTCCTCCCGCGTGACAGAAATACACTCTCGGTAATGCGACAGCACACCATGTAGTTGGCGATGACACATTCCTCAGCCAAGCACTGAGCAGCGGTCAATTACCAGACACGACCAGGGAATTCCTCACCCCAGACTGAGATATGGACGGATAGCCTTCTTCGTCATTGGATTTTCTTTTCTCTACGAATTTGTAGAGCCATACAGGCCTATGGGTCTGTGTAGTCAGCTTTCCTTTATGAAGCCAGTATAAAGAACAGCCCTGCACCTGTTGGCAACATGAGCTGGTTGCACAGTAAGCAGAGCAAATCAAAATGCCCTTGTTTATTCACATTATCTCATTGAAACCTTTCTTACCTTTCCCACTTCCTAGGCCAGCATAGAATAGGTAGCCTCAGAGTACCCGCTTCCATATCATTCTATATCTATCTAACAACACCATTAGGCATCAATAATGCACACTGTGCTTTCAGTGCTATTTCCTCCACCAGAAGTTTTGCCTCAATACTGTAAGCACATCATCTCTAACTCGTTGAATCTGCAGGATTTTGGTACAAATATTTATCCATCACCAGTCAGCAATAAGATTAGTATGTTTTGATGTTGTTGTATTATCTTGTTTATCCTGACCGGAAGCCCCCTGCCTGTGTCCCCTTCTCATTTCTTATAATCTTCTACAGGAAAGGCCCTAAGGCATAAACTGTATGGTCTCACCATTTGTCACAATACAAGTGGGCAATGTTCAGAACCCTTAATAAAGAAACCCTCAGGCGGTGGTAACAATAATAGGTGTTCAATATACACAATGATTCTTCTCTCAACCAGTTGGGTGGAAATGAAAATGCCATGGGATACATCAATCTTAACTGACCTCAATGCTTTTTGCACAAGCACATGCTCTGGTCATGCACAGACACCTACACAAAAAACACAATTTAATCAAAACAAACAAAAAAATGACATAATTTCCTTTCTCAAAAGCAAAGCCGTTTGTTGCTTCTTGCTGTTTCAAGGCAAATTTGAAAGATAAGTGTAAACTGCCAATGCTAACTTTATCTTGAGCTGGAACATTTCATTGATTAGTCATAACTCATCAATTATTATCTAATTTGGTAATAATCAATCACTTTTTGTTCCTTACATAGACTTAAACTTGCTGAGAAGAGGTTTTTATGACTCATATGATTCTATAATGGTTGCAAAATGAAATGCAAATGTATTTACAAAGCATATTGTGGCAGGAGTGCTGGTGTGTACTATCTTCTCTGTCTGGAGCACAATGGGGTTGCTTTGCACAGTATTTCCGACTGCAAATTGTAAATACATTCTTAAATCTTAAATCTTGAATCTTGTAATCAAACAACCCAATGTGTAACAACTGTCTTTGAAGATGTTCTCTAGGGGCAGCACTTGGGTCCCGGATAATGGATTTTCTTACTATATATACATAACTGGAAGCTGCAGGTTGTCCCGTTTGGAGCAAGTTGTAGCCTGCGATGCAAAGCCTGTTCTGCACTTTTAAAGTTTGAATAGTAAAGAAGCGTATGCACTTTTTCATGCCTGTGTTTCTCCATGAGAGATGCAGGCCTTCGTTGCTCCTCTTAAATATAGCTGACCTAGTTTTTATCTTCATAAGTACTGGAAAGACTAGGACAAATTGTAGAGCTGCTGTTCCGATGTTGAATGTATTAGTTATTCACACAGAAGCAAGTGACTTCACAAAAAAACCACTTCATCTTTTCTTTGCTTTAGGGGGGCCTTTTCCGTGGTCAGAAGGTGTGTGAAGATCTCCTCTGGACAAGAATTTGCTGCAAAAATCATCAACACCAAGAAGCTTTCGGCCAGAGGTAATGTGTTAAACAGAATCAAAATTGAGCTCAGCAGTGAAAAGAAAACACCTAGAAAGAGAATGAATTTTGATTAATTAATTGCTCTTTCCAACAAAACATATTAATTTTTCCAACACTATGAAAAACTATCCTCAACAACATTTTAGATTGAGCAAATCGCTACGCATAGTTGATCTACAAACCTAATTTTCCAAGGGGTATGACTAAAGGCTCCTAATCTAAGCTACACATCTTTCATCAAATGTTATGACCAATGTTGGTGTAAATGAACAGACCCAAGATCCATACAGAGGGACGGAGACCAGAGGAATCCCAGGAACCCCAGGGAATACAACATGTGTGATATATTTTACCACAACACATCTGGCCTGTTAAGTCTCAAATTCATATCTAAAATCTGTAAAAATAAAAGAAGAAATAAATACTTTAGAGAGCCCTTTGTAGTTTCAAATAAATGTCTGGACTCTTTGTGAGGCTCAGGCCCTGTAGTGTTTGCCTCTGACCACACTCTTGTTGTAAGTGGGAACAAGCAGTAATATCATATTAATATCGACTGTTATATTCAACACTTGGGTTTTTTATTGTAAGAATAATAATTATAATTACTTTTTGATTGTGGTTTGGAGTTCAAACTGGCCTTGATATATCTCCGGATTATATTTCACTGGAAAATAAGAGGCACTCAGCTCTTTCACATCTGCAGGATTGTGATGGTTATTTATTTATCAAAAGACTGATTCAATGCTTTCAATTTGACGCAGAAATATGAAGAACAAAAACAACAATGTTATAATGTGTACAACAACAAGTGAGGTTGAAAGGAGATTGTGTCTTTAAATTTGCCATCTTTATTTCAACACGTATATGATAACATTTTATTACATTTTCTAACTATTTGTACTTTTGATTTATACTGCTGCCTCTTTATATTCTGCCACCTCCTAGTGCAGTGCTGTGTCCTTTTGGAGTGTGACTTTTCATATAGTCTCATACCTTGTGTGTCCGAGTGTGTGCATTCTTTATTGATGTGGGGCTCTGGCTGGTCTCGTCGTCCCACGGGCAGAGCCCTTGCAATGCCGACCCAGTTCTTTCACATTCGTCACTGTAATTGTTGCTGCTGGCCTGTTTGCCATAGGCCCAAGACATGCACATATACATACAGTATATACGTACTGTCACACATGGAAATGTCCACATGCACATGAAGGCACACACATGACCTTAGAATGGCCAACAGCATGTTTTTCGTTACAAACCAGTGGTGCATTGCTCTTTTGCAGAAGCCAATGAAGTTGTGTCACTGTTGGCTTGGTTACGAAGTTGGAGTGATACGGTTTGTGGGACTTAAGTCATTCAAGAATATGATTAATGTTAAAGCAGTGTAGCGAATCTGCAACATTTTGGACTTCAATTTGATTAAGGAAAATCATTTGCATCTAGCTGCACAAATGCTAGATATTGTGTGCAAAGTGGATTTGTTGTTTGATGTTTACTATTCTCAAATTTATCTGGATTCACTTCTACATAACTTATGTATACTTATTTAGTCTACCAGAAATATATTACTAATATGTTCTGAAAACTTTAGTTGATGAAAAAAAACATAGTTTATTATTTCATCATCTACTGAATGATGAAAGATCCTTTAAATCAGCATATTTCTATTGCTTCAGCGCAATGCACTTCCAACTTGAAAATATTGTCAAGAACACTGCCTGACATGAATCAGAATGATTCCACTTGACATTTTTACAAAGATGATAATTGCTGTTGTTTAGACATGAGTTTCATTAGCTTGAAAGGTTTTCTATTCTTCAAAGCATCAAAGAAGTTTTGAGAAAGGATCACTTCATCATAAACATTTGGCTCAAAAAAAATAAAGTTGCCATGATTTGCCAGGGCATTGTACATTTGGACATAGATGTTCTGACATATGTTCAAATAAATGATTTGTAATTATTGGAAAACTGTGTGTTTCCGGCTCGTCAGGAAAGTACTTTTGCTGATCACACTCCGTCTGCCTTTGCTCTTGTTACGCTATCTGCTTGTCGCTAAACACAAATTTCTTCCAAGGCAAGGCCAGGCAAGTTTATTTGTATTGCACAATGAATACACGAGGCAAACAAGAACAAAACAAGATAGAAACAATCACACAAGGCATTCAAATCATAAATAATCACATTACATTAAAAAGAAAGTTCAACATCAGTTGTAGGCACAGCTAAACAGAACTGTTTTTAACCCGGATTTAAACAACAGAGGAGGCCTGTCTCACATATTCAGGAAGATTCCCTAAACCCTAATTCCTTTAGCCTTTCCCTTTCCTCATCCCCCAAGTGCTTTTGCTCCCCCTCCTGCCTACTGGGTGCAGAGTTGGAAACAGACATTACAGCAGACAGTGTTGTTGTCTCACTACTCTTTATGCTGGGGCAGTATTTCTAAAAATACCACAAGGGTTATTACATCACGTACATGTACCTCGTTTAAAGATTTACCACATACTGGGCATGTTGGCGTGTCCGATATAGTCTTACCCTCTTTCATGAATCGCGATAATCTTCAGAACGGCAAGTCGGATTCCCTTTTACTCTGGCAGGATCGTGACCTCTTCCAACCTCTTCAGTGAATGTGTGCAGCACTTGTGGGAGGTTTATAGTAGGATTGGTGGCTAGAATGTGCACAAACCATCACCACAGATGCATGGGATCATGACAGCGCTCCTACAATCCTCGTGATTATGCAGCATTTCATTAAGAGTGCGAGATGAGCCCCGTGAATGAAAAGAGAGAGAAAACGCATATATCACAGAATAAGAGGTTTAAATTATCCAGAGTGAAGGGTGTGTGTTAGTGTATGTGCTCGCCGCGTTGCTCACAGCAGTTGTCTACTCCATGCGTCAGTGTCCTGTCACTGTTACTCGGTCTGAGATCTAGTGTCACTTTATATTTGCATGTGATGTGCAGGCTGTGGGGCTGTGTGCCGCTCAATATAGTCTGTGTTTCTGGGTTTCACACAATGGGATGGGAAGGGCCTCAACAACTACAACAACAACTAAAAAAAACCCACAACATAATCATATTACAAATCATACATATCATCACACTGCACAATCTAATCACAAAACAAACATCTACAACATGAAGCAACGTTGATTGTTAAATGTATTTAGTTGCTATTAGTAATCGACACAGATATCTTTCACCATGCGTTAAGACTCGATGACAGAACACCATGTACCGCAAGCATTTGTAGTGTTTTGGGTGCATCTTAAATTTCCCTTTTAAGAAATCACTGTTATTCTGTGTGTTCTTCATCCATAATGATGGGTAAAAGGATGGTTTTGGCCCTAGTTAGAGACTGGAGCCCACACACAGGAGATTGGAGGGTGGTATCAGTAGGTAGAAAGGCAGGTCACATGACTCACTGGGTACTTCAGGCTAAAAATAAGTGCTTGCGTCACTCTTGGTTTCTCACAATGACTAGAAGAGAATTCCTATCTTTAGAAAATAGCCAATTCTTAAGGTGCTTTTATCCTCAAGGCAAATCTACCTGATGCATTTGTTTAATACACAATTTGCACCACATTAGATGATTGTATGTTAAGGCTGCAACAATAGTAATGACTAGTCAACAAATTAGATCTATTTTTGATATTCATAATTGTTAACTCCCAACAGACTAGCATTACAGCATACAAATAGAATTATCAACAAAATATGACACTTTCTGGAAGTCTGAAACACTGTGACCCCCCTTACTGATCAAAAGATCTCTGGGGGCCACCAAATACCACTATATATTGAATAATGATTTTCCTGTTAAATATAGGCCAACATATATAAACATGCACTAATAAAGTTATAAAAAACCGTAAATGTGTGACATTTCAGGATTACTCTTTATTTTCTCAATAACTGCAAATCTTTCATCCAAATAATTGCAGAATACTTTGTGTAATAGTGTCTGTATGATGTCAGGCTTTAGCCTTTTATCCTCAGAATGTCTGCGTGTGATATTACGCATTTATGCAACTCCTTAAAACCCTTGCTTTCTTTATTTCTTGTTATTTTAATCAGTCAAATAAATACAAATGCTATGACTCATAAATGTTACCGTTACATTTCAGTAATGCATACACAGCCTTCTATCCTGCAAATCATTTTCCCCACGATCCATTTGACGATTCACTCTTCATGCAGCATCTGCCTCAGAATCCCAGAAACTGTTCAGAGATTTGTGTTGCTTTTTGCCGCAATACATTTCTTTAAATCATGCCCCAAAAGAGTCCAGTGAGGTCATTCATTTAAACCCCTTTGGAAAGCCACACTCTGCATTACTTTGGTTCATGAGATGGAGTTTTATGACACATGAGTCCATAACACTTTTTATGACTCCAGACACGTTCTAAACATTTAGACTTGTGGATATTGTTCATTGGAGGTCGGCTTTGTCCATTTTTCACACCAGCAATCTGTCTCAGCATTGAACACCTTGTACTTCTCGTCATTAGGAACGTTATGTTGTCGAAATGAACAGCACTTGTAGATAATGGCTCTTTAGTGGCTTCACATTTGTTTTTCTCTGGTTTTCATATTTTTCAGTTAATCCTCTCCCACTTTGTCACAGGTTGGAGCACAAAACTGTGAACAAAAAATGACTATTTGGTCACAAAAACTCACTTACGTAATGTGTCTGTACACACTGTGAGAAAGTGGTTGGAGGGGCCATGTGGACTGGACAGGTGTGGTCACAGATTGGATGTAGCTTATCACCAGTGAGTGTTAACTTGAATGAATAATTAATTATGGCTTGACTGTAGCACTTTGAAAGGCTGCAAAGATTTTATAAAAAGCATGATACTTGTACATTAATAAGAGAGGAATGTAAATCCGGGCAAAAGTGCCTCTTCCTTCATTTTTAATTGTTGATATTGGATGCTGTGGATGAAAACACATGTTTTTTTTCACTTTTGCGGTGAATGAAGACACATCTCTGCA